TTTGGTGTATGAGTCGTAATAGAGTTTATACCAAACTTTATCTTGATTGGATATGTTCACCTCAGAAGGAGCCATGCCAATTGATTCCATGTATGAGGAGTTGATGGACTTTACAATATCTGGAAGACTGCTTAGATACTTGAAGGTGTTGTTAGCGTACATGTAACGCACCAATCGTTCCTTCAATCGTTTAATTCCGTTTTCCGCAATCGATGCCTTCATGTTCCCAAACGCTAAGATATGATCAATTTTTTCACGTTTCAAGTAATCCTTGACAGATTTATTCACAAATTCTCCACCCTGAAACAGAATCATCATCTAGGTTAGAATATTGTAGAATATTTAATACAATTGCAAGATGAGTTGCTTTGATATAGTAATTCTATTTTCTCTCGCCAGATCTATATGTACACCAACAGTGAACTATCATACCTGATCACTTCTTATCTGTAGCGGAGTAGGCATATCCTTTTTTAACGCTTCAAGTGCCTTGACAACCTCTCCACCTCGTTTCGATGTTAAGGGATGCACCCACATGTAACGGGAAAGCGCGCTAACAATCACTAACAAATAGCTTATCTTTGAATTATACTTTGAATATGTTTTCAAATCAGCTAGATCCATATCGTACATTTGATACATGGATGAAACGATAATTTTGCGACGATTCTTAATTTTCTTAGGTTTTCTGAACAATGCATAAGACTCTTGATTGTTAATCCAGCTCTTGACTTGAGCTTGAGTGATACCCAATGACCTAACTTGTCTCCACAGACGAATTGGACTCGAAAACGAGCCGGGTCTACCTAACGTGTAATAGGCCGATTTCAGAGCTCTTTTCATGGAACTTGATAATACTTTTTTCTTAGTACTTCTAGTCTTTTTAATAGCCTTCGTCATCGTAAGGTTGTAACTTCAACAAGTGAACAGAATAATTGTTTTGTGTTTATATTTATTAAAATTAAAAGTACAATTATAAAATTGATGGGAGGGTGAGCATAATATCATTGTACTTCACTTTTAGAAAATACTTGACAAACTCATCATTTTCTCTAAGATTGTGCTTTGAAAATGAATTGACAATACATCTCATGCTAGTTTTCCTACATCGTTTATTTAAATAGTATACACAGTGATGACCACACGTTGTGTCTAGTCCTTGAATTCTAGTGTTGTTGTATAAAAAATGCGTACTATTGTTCACAAGAATATCTTGAAATATAGAATTATAATAGTCAGGCGAATGTCCCATGGAATCATAAAACTCTGCTGGTGCGTTATCATAAAACGCAAATGCACACCAATGCTCTCCAACCATCGAACTATCCTGTGTGTTAACAATGAAATAGGATGGTCTTTTCGTAACTTTTGTAGGTAGCTCATCCAGTGCGTATACACCGTGGGTTTTTAAGCGCAGACAAGCGTCCGAATTCATGATTCGCTCCAATTGATACGTATTCATTATGTAACTGTAACACCGCGAAAGCGGTCAATCTCCAGTATTCGATGGAATGTTCCTAAAACGATCACGCACACCGGTTCTTGTAGGGCAGTCTCAAAGCGTCCTTCAAGTTTCAGTTGCCCTCCTTTAAGTAACGGGAACACAGTTTTATTTTCGTCTGCCGCATTCAACTGGAAACGAAATATCGAAAATCCTGATTTGAAATCGTCCACCTCGATATCAGTATTGTTGTCGTGATTTGGTAATGATGTTTCAAAGAGTCTCAAATATGCCGACAGATATTGTTCACTCTCAATTAGATCGCTGGAAAATTTTAATGTGAGTGGTTTCGAAGGTACATCTTGAGAATCCACCTGAGTTGTTAGACTGGATAGGTTGAAGTGATCCATGTACAGCGGATTTGTGTCATATGTACCAGCATAGGCGCGGGCTGATACGAAAAAAGCAGTGAGGCAAGAGGGTATGCGTCCTTGAAATATGTTATCCCAAGAAAAGTTAAAGTTGCCTGATGCTAGGCTTTTCACTTTGACTTCCACATCCTGGTAAGGATATATAGCAGGCGTTCGAAGCATCACCTCGTTGTGTGCTTTAATAACGGCGGGATTAACTTCTACCATGCAAGCCTCGAAGTAAGCATCTGTTACAATTAACCGCCATTTTTGTGGATCATCGGAAACTAAACAAAATTCACTGCTATTTGGCCATAATTTTATTTTGACTTCAACTCCATTGAGAAGCAGGCGATCCGATTGAAGAAAACTTTCATATATCGGTCCAGTTAGTTCTACTTCTCGGCTGTTTCTATAATCCATATATCGCATTAATAGTCCTTGGTTCCCTCCTGTCCAAACATTATTTGTAGCGGGAAACATGTCATCTTTTCTATAGCCCTGCGCTTGCATCCATGACTTTTTATCTGCTGAAGAAAAGTTTTGTAGTACGTGCAGATAAGCTTTGTACGCGAAATCAGGCGTGGCCTCTGTAATGGATTTTTGTTGAACTTGAATGTCAATACGATTCCATAATGTTTGTAAAAGCAAGTTAATAGGACCGCATTTTTTAGGTCCCTGTATGTCACTTGGATCCCAATTCATAGTATCACCATTAGCCTGAACTATTTTTACTTTGACATGCAGGCGAGATCGTTTTAAACTCAAATAGTCCATACCATTGTTTGGTATATTAAATTCCACACAACTACCATGGGTGAGGCTCGAAGTTGGTCGATATTCCACCCATTTAAAACGAGAAATACTTGTATCAGTTAATGGGGTGTTAAAAAGCATTAGTTCTGTGGATGACGATTCATCACTTCCTACCAGCTTTTCCGCCATTTCGTTTTTTCTTAGTTAATATATCGCTGACTCTGGTAGTTTTATATCTTTTCTTTAAATTGTTTGTTTTGGATTTTCTTTTTATCACAGCTTTCTTCTTTTGCGGAGCTCTTTTAATAGGTCTACGTCGTTTGCTGTCAATTAATCGATTTGGTCTACCTGGAGGTTGCAGAGATCTTTTAAATGTATTCGATCTTTTCCCTCTCTTCAATTCCGCACTTGCTCTCTGCACTACAGCTTGTGATGGGCTCACTAAATTAATAGTTGACCCACCTTCTTGGTTGTTTCTTATTGAATATCGGCTATCGTTTAATGAAATGTTCTTTTGAGATTTTTTAGAGTTCATAGGTAAACTGCGGTTCACGGATGATGCGAAAAAGTGCCCCCATTTAGTATCATCTGGTGTGTAACTAGATAGTCTCATCTTGAAGTCTATACAATATGCGCTTTTTTGAAGTGTAACACACAAAAGAACGTATCGTTGTTAAATGAAAAAGCTTCGGTACCCTTTGCTTCTTTTATACTGATAGATATGTGTTGGAATCCTGATGGTATAACGGGTGTATAAAGAACAGGGTTATAAGATTGACAATTCCCAGTGTAGAAAATGTCATCCTGGGTAGCGTGTACTTGTCTTAACAACTGAATATTTTCACCGCCAACTATGGTACCGTAACAAAGATTGCACATCACATTCATTACGATTCTCCCGTATACTGTTGGATGTCTCAATTCCACCAATCCACACTGCCATTGTTCATCAGGATTCAATGAAATATATTCGGGTAATTTAACTGTGAACTTGGTATTATTGTTAGAAGGATATGTATCCATAGAATCAGTGCTGTTCAAGTATATATAAAATTGTGAAATCATGTTTCAACCTCAAGAGATCTAGTATTTATGAATATTTTTTCTTAATCAAGTATATTTATGATATACTGGGACGTTATGCATCTCAAATTGAAGCTACCACAAACCTCAGGTTATCACTATGGTTACTACAAAAGCAAGCATATCATCATTAGTAAAAATGTTATTAACCCCTGGCATCTCATTCCTGGTATCTCACTTTAGGCACCGCAAAGTAGTCTCAGCATCTCATTTCTGGCATCGCATTTTTAGACACCGCAAAGTAATCCCGTGCGGCATCTCATTCCTGTCATCTCACTTTAGGCACGGCAAGGTAGTCTCAGCATCTCATTCCTGGCATCGCATTTTTAGACACCGCAACATCTCATTCCTGGCATCGCATTTTAAGATACCGCAAAGTAATCCCGTGCCTCCTTAACATACACTACTAACATTTTCTTTTATCTATTAGATTAGATTGTTGCCATAAAACATAAGATCAAATGCTTTTTTGAGAAAGATTCCTTGATAGAAACATGTCGACCAAAGAATAATTCACAAAAAATATTTATGTGCATCCTGAAATATGGTAATATATTTAACATGAAATTTTCTACAAAATTATGTTTGCCCAGGAAAGGTGTTCAATCTAAAACATGTTCCCCTAGAGAATGTGTTCAACTTAAAAATATGTTTACTTATGAGAGTGTTAAACTAAGAATGTTATGAATATGTTCAGCTTTGCAAGATGTTTACTGCAGAAATAAGTTCACCTGACATAAATGCCAGTATAAATGACTTCTCCAAATGACAAATTATTACAATGTATAAAGGAAATGGTCGATACATTCCTATATTTCTGGCATATTTGTATCGAAGTTGAAACAATGGGACATCATGAATTGTCAACATTGGGTATGTTTAAATGGTCCATAATGACGCATTAATGAATCTTACATATTTGTTAAGCATTTATCCTAATCTTTGTAGGGGACATTTCTGCATCTATTTGTTGATAGTTGATATGCTTTCAATTAATTTGAATTGATTTGTTAAGAAAGGTAACCATGATTACTAAAAGCCAGTTGCTTTTAAGCACTGATTGTACTGTACCACATTTCACCACTTTATGACTAAAAACGTTGAGTAATTAAAAAGTTTTTAGTGTACGATTTTAGTAGAATGTAATGCCTAATGGTTCAAAGAATAACAAAGACATTGACACGCACAGAGCAACTGATACAACATTTGCATTCATACTCTGCTCAATATATAAGGCTGGTTGCTATGAAGGCCACATTACAGTTTTCTACAACAACACAACTGAGAAAAATACTTTACAAGTATCTACAAGTGGTTCTAAGATGTTTGGAAGGAATTCGAATAAGAAGAGGCATTAATAAATGTCATTGAATTTGCTGTAACGTGACTTTCTTCATGAAGATATGGAAAAACTTAAGGAGCAGTTAAAACATTTTGCAGAATCCACAACAGCACATGGTTTGGCTAGAATCCCTACATCAAGGACAAAAATCGTTAAGTTCATTTGGATTATTATCATCTTAGGTTGTGGTATCACATCATTTGTTTTCTTGTATCAATCATTTGCTAAATATTTAGCCTTCAAGCCCAAAGACGTAGTTTCGATTTCAAGAGAGATCACAGTGAAATTTCCTTCTGTAACAGTTTGCCCATTATATCCTATAGCAACAGGGAAAAATTTCAATATTTATGACTATCTAGATAATAATTCAACGTATGTATATAAACTCAATCAAATAATTTCTGGATTTTATGAGAAATTCGATGAACCTGAAGATCCATTATACGCAAAGTACATACGTCACAAAAACCGTGTAGTTGCATGGCAATGGATTTATGAAAACAATCCGAATATAACTAACGCCTCACACTCATGGCCTGATCTAGTTCCAATATGTAGTTTTAAGGGTAAGCCTTGTAAAGCAGAACATATTGAAAAGTTTGTGGATCCTAATTATTATAACTGTTACACGTTCAATGGTATGAACTCGAGTACTCTAAATGGTGAAAATCACACATCAACGGAGGATGAAATGATAGTTGAGTCGATTGGCCCAACTTCAGGACTGTCACTCATCATGTTCCTTGATCTACATGAGGAGCAGCGAAGTATGTTTAACCCAATGATTCCAACAAGTGGAAGTGCAGGCATAAGAGTGGTAATCCATGAGACAGGGACGGTACCAGATCCTACAGCAAATGGGTTTGATATACCACCAGGTTTTTCAACTAATGTACCCTTACGGCTGATTCAGCGGAATCATATGGAAGAACCCTGGGGGACGTGTGATAAGAAGGCTGACCCATATCTGAAGGGATCAAGATACACATACTCAAGATCCAGTTGCAAAAGACAATGCGTACAAGGTTTGTTGAAAGCCAAATGTGGCTGTATATCATCCTTATGGCCAATAAACAATGATGCTGATGACTCTAAATACTGTGGGACTTTTAACATTGATGAATGGATCAAACAAGAATCAAATAGAAGCATTCTCGAAGAGGACCTTCTACGTTTAGATTGTGAAGAAGATCTTTTATCCCATCTCACAGAGATATCAGAGTTCATACAATCTCCAGATTGCCAATCAAATCCTGATTGTCATGATTGTGACTGCCGACCTGCATGCGAGCATTATAAATATTATCAGGATATCTCCATGTCATATTGGCCTATGGAGTCCGCACAAATGACTTTCTATGAATCCCTCATGACAATGCCTGGCTACAATGATTCTACAATATATAAACTATTACATAAGCCTCACGATGATTTGGGTACAGCTGACAACAGTTCACAAGTCAATAAAGACTTGATTCGGAAAAACTTTCTCCGTCTTAACATATACTACAAAACAATAGAAACGGAGGTGATATCCATGTATGCTGAATTCACTAGTGGGGAACTAGTGGCAGAAGTCGGAGGAACTCTGGGAATTTTTCTGGGTGTTTCATTCGTGACACTCTGCGAGGTTGTAGGCCTTCTGTCGAATTTAATATCCTCGCTTTTGTGTAATAAAAATAGAAAAATCAAAGACACTCATGATCTGTCAGAAAAAATATCCAAATATGATGCCAATGATGTAAAAATTGTCAATCAATAATTAACAGTTCAAATTATCTGAAGTACCGAAAAGTGCTTTGTGGTTGAAAATCAACCAAGCCATGGTACCGATAGCTCCAATTCAACCTTTTAATTCCTTTTTTACAGTTATTTTCATATGATATGTTATCTATTGACCAAAGGGCATGTTTGAACTTATAACGAGAAGGAGATGATTTAGAGTTGTTCAAAATGAGTGATGAACTACATGTACAGATTATGTATATATTTTAATCAATAAATCTAAATTGTAGATGTTTTCTAGATGATAAAACAATGTTATTTAAATGTTTACTGATCAGAAATACATAACAATAGCCATCCTGAGACAATACAGCTTAACTATAAGTTCTTCAATTCAAGGCCAAGATAAGACTATAAAAAGCCTATATTTTGAAAACTAACCAAAAAATGAAAGAAATTCTTAAATACTAAAATTTAAAGAAAATGGTCTTGAAGTTAAATTACTGTCAAATTTGTCATAGTAGAACATCTTTAGTACATCTAAAGTGTTTCACTTTGGAGGTGTTCTACTTATAGAGGTTCATTTAACATTAAGTCAGTTAATCTCAATGTTCCCCTAGTAGTGTTGTACCCCTTAATAGAGATGTTCAACTAGTAGAGATGTTCCACTTCACTTGACAGTTTTTTTGTATACAAGTGAACATACATAATGTTAAATCAATTCTGTGGCACCTAAACACAAAATGGCAGTAAATCATAACAGAAGTTTCTTCGTTATAATCGTTGACACCATCCTATTACAAATGAGTATTTTTAATGGTATATTCAATACTCTCCCCCTTGTTTAAAATGACTTGAAGTTCTATAACATTTTGTAACTTATTTTGAAATAAACATGCGGATAAAGTGAGAAGAAATATATTTTCTACATATAAGTTCTATCATGTTATGACTTAATTTAATTTTACATCATTTTGTTTTTATATCTTTTGCTTTCTTGCTCAGTTTTTCTATTCCTTTGGTTAAATCATTTGCCATGGGCTTCCTATTTCAGCCTTGGATTGAGAAAATGTAAAACAATCGTTACATATAGATTAATATCATGTCCAATCAATGATCATGATATGACATGGACCAATTAATTAAAATATTCATTTTCACATGAAGATAGGATAATATTACATTGGAGGTTATTCCCCCTGTTTGGTTATTTAAATTGATTGGCATCTATAGTGGGAGGCAAAGAAAATATATATGTATGGACTTTTATTTTTCTTGGTAGATCAGAAGTAAATTTATGAGTCAAGTAAATGGTGATAATATACTTTTTTGAAGCGGGGAAGTCAAAACAGTACTATTAGAATTCATAGTAAGCATGCAAAGATCATTTAGAAGCATTTGAAATTGAATCCATATGAAAATTGAAATAACTGAAATCGGTATACGTCTTCTTCTTCCTCTTCTTCACGGACGTCACAGAACACACTTCCGGTGAAGTAATCGATGATTTTATCGATCAAAATATCTATATTCTCAAATGACAGTGGAGTGATTTCAGGGGACTATTTATCGCTGACTAATTTTCATTTGTTTCCAAATTAGGCAGATAGATCTCTCTTGAGCACAGTGGTATGTCGCACTAAGCATGGATACTGCCTTTCAAGAGATATATAGGCTAAAACATTACAATGATCACCAATAAACGTCCTCTCCAGACTCAAACCTATAACCGCAGTAATCTTCATTGCCATAAACACTCAGACTTGCATCATGGGGGTTCCCAATCCAGGAATACTTCTCCATCTTTTCCCACACAAACAAAATTTTATTTGTATGAATATAAAACATATTTTCTCTGACTATGGACCAGTCTGTGGCAGAAAGCCTTTTTGACTCGATTATCGTCATCAATTACCAAAATGGCAGCCTACAGCGACGAATGGAAGTTAATATCTTCATTGATATTGATGCATACGTGTCGGTTAACTTACTAGAACATTATCAGCTAATCGATTAATGCACAAGGAAAACATTGAGGTATTGCATTCTGTTATTTAGTTGGAGTAAGTCCAGTTTTAAGAAGGAATTTTATGAAATACCCTATCTAATATACACTATTCAAAAATCACAGGGGATTTTGTAATTTGAGACATCTTTTACAGGAGAATTTGGTTGATGCATTGTGTGTTTACTAGAGAAAATAATTTACAGATGTAAGTTTTATGCTTCGTTGATCTTTGTACTTGTGCAACTTAATGAGTTTTTTTAGTTTTTATGGTTCATTTATTGAAATCATATATATATAATACATTAACAGGGCCTAGGCAAAAGCATTATTGGCCCTGTGAGAATACAACATACAAATTATTACAGATGGCTTTTTGTTGAAACAACTGATTAAATGTTATAAATTGATAATTCAAATAATTTCCATTATTTTACAGAGAAAGTTAGTAAAAATCTTAAATACACAACCTTTGATTTTGTTATTCACTAAATTATCTCCAAACAAAAGTGTATTGGTCTTTTGTTCTAAAGTGCATCCAATTAAAAAGAAATGGTTCAGTTCTGGCATCACCCTAAGCTCCCCCCAAAGTTCTTCTCTTTCTTTAACTAACAGCGGGCAATTGAAGATAAGGTGTTTTGAAGTTTGTTCTCTGTAGCCACATAAGCATTTTGGACTTTCTACATCTCTAAAATTATGTAAGAAAAAATGGCCAGAGAAAATAAAATCACATCTAATACGATTTAAGAATATTTCACTCTTTCGTGATAGTTCTAACTGAGATGTAGGTAATGGTAAATTTTTATCTTTAAGATGAGTTTTGACACTTCTCTTAAAACTAGCAAAACTTTTACTTTCTTTTTGATCTGTTGGGAGCTTTTCCCATAAACGTATTGCTCTAGTAACTGGGGATTTGGAAAAGGAGCCAATTGGCTTTGGGGCAGTAAAATGTCTAATCCTTCTAAGGTTCACATTTTGTACCGGATTTCTATGCTGGTCAAAAATTCTTTGAAGGTATGAGGGGACAGTCTTGTTTTTAACCTGGTACATTAACTTTAAATATTTTTCATCTGTTCTAGTAGACAGTTCATTCCAATTTAATGATTTAAATAATTTAGTTTTTGAGGTTCCTTGAATACACCCACTTATTAGTAAGGCAGCTCTATAATGCACCTGATCAAGTTTAGCAAGGTCATATTTAGTCGCTTTACTTTAACTTAATGAGTTTCAGCCTTGATAATTCTTACCAGGGGCCCTACCCACATCATTGATGTGGGCACTCACAAAGCTTTAGTCCTTAATATCATGATTGGATCATCATCCAATACTAAGCCATGTCTTAAATCATATTTTGGAAAGTAGTCATTAGTCAATGCACCTGATCGAGTTATCATTTGATGCGATTGTGATTAAACGTGATGACAACTAAAACAGATAATCTAATTAATTAGGCCTAATCTAACTAACAGATTGGATGTCATTAACATAACCTTACCAAAAAACAAACATCATGCAGTTTCTTTAGATGCAATTTGAGACAATAACGCAAATGCGAGTAGGTAGTTACCAGTTTCGCCACCAGGTGGCTCGCTCGGGTCAGATAGCATGGCGGGTATAGTAGAAAGTTCCCTTTAACTTAAATTACATAGGTTTTAGTGGTTTAATTTTCATATAGCCCTTATTATGTATCGAATAGTTATGCAAATTAAAGTACGTCCAGTAAAAGAAAATGTTCCAAAACAACAATTTTCGAAACATTTTTTTAGATGTATTTTTACATGTGGATTTCAAATATGACATCACTGAATTTTGAATATTTAATGATGTAAATCAAGATCATTTCTACCCGCATCTAGTCTATTAAATTGAGAGAATGATAATGCTGATCCCGTCCCGTGCCAGGACTATAGTCCGGTGAACGTCTTATCTTTTGCCTGTACGGTTAAAACATGGGAGAATTTTCGTTTTTGATTGCAATATTGCGTGTAATAATTAAGTTATTTCAACCGTCAAATTACTCCATTTATTGGTACTTCCAGGCCACTTCCGGGCCAGTCAAACAGGGAATCCCCTTTTAAATCCAACCGCCATCTTGAAAAGTGATGGAATCTCTCTCGATGAAAAAGAAAAATGTTCCTGTTCTGCCGATATACCCAGACAATTGTGGATTCAACTACACGAAAAGAATGCTAAAATACCAAGGAATCTATTGAAGTAGGTATCTTTAGTGTAAGATGCGTAGAAAATTCTCCCATGTTGCAATCGTACAGGCAAAAGAATAAGACGTTCACAGGACTATAGTCCTGGCACGGGATAAGATAATGCTGGTATTTTGAGGCAAGAGATATGTGCGTAGCTAGCACCAATATTTTTTGACTTTTAAAAATACTTGTGCGGTTCTATAGAAGGCTCCAAAGACCAGAACCTGAATTGGTTTGTTGCTTGATTATTTGGTTGTTTGCTTAATTGTTCAGATGGCTGGTCGTTGAGTTGGAGGCCTGAGTTGGGTGGTTGGTTGCTTGGATTGTTCAATGGCACGTTTTAGGACATAAAATGAAGAAAATCAAATTCCTGACCCTGCTAGGAATGTTAGGTACCTGGTCACCCAGCTACCCAGTTTTTTACACAAACCCCATTAGGAAATCGGGATATTTCGAATGCTACTCCCATTAAAACTGCCATTTTGGTTTCCCAGATAGTAGAAAACATCCACTTGATGTGTAGAGTCCATTTCACTGCTTCAGTTCGTCAGTAGAACGGCAAAAATAAGAAATTGGGAGACTATTGTGCAATAATATATGGAAAAGTATATTCATAATGTACATGAATGACATTTGTATATTTCAGATTTTTTAGTTTTTTGTGCAATAAGCCTGTGCCGTCTTGTAATTTGAAGAATTTCAGCCATGGTAATCTTATTGAAAATAACATGGCAGAGAAACATCCAAATATAAGAGGCCACACACTTTATAAGCCAAACTAGAAGCAATCCAAGATATACAAATGTCATTCATGTACATTATGAATATACTTTTCCATATATTATTGCACAATGGTCTCCCAATTTCTTATTTTTGCCGTTCTACTGACGAACTGAAGCAGTGAAATGGACTCTAGTAGACTCTATTTCAGTTTCATGCATCACGATTCTGTAGCAGGTGATAGGTGACGTGCAAAAGAAGAGGCATCCTCCTAAGCAGGTATCCAGAATCCATACCTCCTTCTTCCCCCTGCTATAACCAATTTGGAAGCGCCCGATAAACTGAATCACGTGACTTATACATGATTTTTGTCGCAGTGTTGCGACAGCCAATCAGATTGGGAGTTATTAATCGGGGAAATGCTAACTGCTTATCGCAGTAAAAAAGGTAAAAGGTAAAAAGAAAGAATATATAATGGATTTTGAAGCCCTGTGATGAGAAGGTTGTTCTAATTTTTTTGAGATCTTGATTTACTTACCGTCTTGCACCTTAGACCGGTACACCTGTAGAATGACAGCCATCGAAATGTACACTTGTATTTCTGATCTTAGTATTCCACCTCGGAAAACATCTATAATTCTGCACGATGGAAATAACTAGATGATGAAGGACTGTTGCAGATAGCAAGGCAAAGTATTTTTTTACTTCCGGTTCTGGATTTATCTAGATATCAAATCAACTAGAGAAACGAATATATAAAATATTCTTTTAATTGATTCCGATTGAAATATGATTTAGTGACATATACTCTATAAATAAGAAAAAAAACAAAAATTTATTTGATCTTTACTTTTTATGCTTTGGTGGTAGATATTTACATATCATTTTTTTCCATTTTCGAATTGTAAAGTTTGAAATCAGAAAATATCAAAATGGAATTTTGAAAAATGTGAAAAGGTTCCTCATGACTCATCTTATTTATGTAAAAAGTAACTACATACGCATTTTCAGGTAATATATTATTATCTAGTATTTGGTTAGTTGATATATCTCCAAATCAAGGTGATATATCTGACGGAAGCCCAAACACTTGCAACAGCTATAGACTAAACTGTAGATCTAAAGATCAACCTCAGTTTCATTTCATTCAAAAATTTCAATAATTTCAATTTACCCAACGGACCTCTGCCAGATAAGCTCCTCTGTGTCTAGGCTCAATAAATATACTCAAGGACAAGAGACGCCATCTTCGGAAAATTTATTTTTCCTTGATTTTGGAGTCAGTTTATCAATAAATATCACATGCCATACCTCAAACGATGCGTATTGTTGTTAGCCTCAACTCTGATCACTAAAGCCAAACATCCAAGAAAGCGTCTGTTGATCAAAGCATAAAGTATATTTAATGGAGCACTTCGGCTATCTCCGTTGTTCAAATGATTATTCCCGAAGTCAAATGCCTTTTCTGAGAATGTGACGCCATTCCAGATGACGTCACATCAGAGATTACCGAGAAGTCCCATAACGTTTCTTTAAACTCCCGTAGAAACAATAACGACGGTTTATTAGGCTACTTTCATTGGCTGTTTGTTCCGATGTGACGTAATTTGAGAGACGAAAAACATCGGACACTGCCGGAAATTACCGAAGTGCTCCATTATCTTTACGCTCTGAAAATTTGAAATAAATGTCCCGGGAAAAGTTGAATTACAGCGTCAATAATGGATATCATGCAACCATTCCACAGATCCGGAGCCAGATCCAGGCCCTGTTGGTAGTAGGCTCAAAGGATAAATGAGAAGATGAGACACGAGCCAAAAATGCTACATCAAAAATATGACCACCCAAAAATATGACTCTCGTACTGACCTTTATTTTTTCCATCTGTCAGACATTGATTGATAATTATTTACCCTGTAATCTCTTCTTTATGTTAGTTGGAATGGTTGCATGATATCCATTATTGACGCTGTAATTCGAATTTTCCCGGGACATTTATTTCAAATTTTCAAAGCGTAAAGATAATGGAGCGCTTCGGTAATTTCCCGCAGTGTCCGATGTTGTTCGTCTCTCAGATTACGTCACATCGCAACAAACAGCCAATGAAAGTAAAGAATCGCGTAGCCTCACACACCGTTGTTATTGTTTCTACGGGATTTTAAAGAAACTTCATTGGACTTCTCGGTAATCTCTGATGTGACGTCATCCGGAGTGGCGTCACATTCTCAGAAAAGGCATTTGACTTCGGAAATAATCATTTGAACAAAGGAGATAGCCGAAGTGCTCCATTAAATATACCTCGCTTATTTTATGCTTTTATCAACAGACGCTTTCTTGGATGTGTGGCTTTAGTGATTGGAGTTGAAGCTAACAACAGTACGCATCGTTTAAGGTATGACATGTGATATTTATTAAAAAACTGACTCAAAAATCAAGGAAAAATAAATTTTCCGAAGATGGCGTGTCTTGTCCTTGAGTATATTTATTGAGCCTAGACACAGAGGAGCTTATCTGGCAGAGGTCCGTGATTTACCCCCATAATTGTGGGCCAGAATTGCAGGCCGTCCAACTGTCCCGCAATTTGCCTTTTTGTCACGCATTTGCATGAAAATTTGAAGTCACACCAGTTTTTTGGCGTGACAGAATATGCAGTTCTGTCAACCCCAAAGGATTTTCTCGCGGGACAGATTTTTTATACCCAGTACCCAAAATTCGTGGGATTTTGCGGGACATCCACTAAATTTGCGGGACATTTGAGGGATTTGTGTGATTGCGCTAATAGGCCAAATTTTTTTTATCAAATTCGCGGGACCATTCGAGGGATCATTTGAGGGACAAACACCCTAATTGAGGGACAGTTAACAGGGTAACAATCACCAAAGACTTCATAGAGGGACAGATTTTTTAGACGAAGTGCCCTAAATTTGCGGGATTTCGCGGGACATTCAAGGGATTTGCGTAAATGTAAAAGTACTCAAATCAAACTTTCAGATACTGATTATCAAATATAATGCACTTGCATTGTAACTTAAATGAATGTCAACACAGTTTCACACAATACGCATAGAATATTGTTAAACTTTATTGAATTTATCAAAAACAAAAACCATGCTTCAGGTGTGAGTACCGTAACCTAACACAAAATTCTAAAATTCTGAACAATACTTTGCACTTTCGTGGCGTTTGTGACCAACTATGAAAAGCTTACCTCCATAGTGTTATTTATTAAAATGTACCTATTCATATAGGCATGCATGGGCTTTCAATTGAAACCCATGATACAGGGGTTCAATTAATCTACATTCGAACATGACTGTATTCACCTTCTATAAACTGTAAACAAAGTCAACATTTCAAACTCCCCTCGGTCGTTTGGAGTACAGAAAACGTTTGTGCCTAGGCCTGGGGGGTGTATTCGACAATATTGCCCCTGCTTTTCGGTTTATATTTCTTAATTAAATTATAGGGAGTCGGGTTACTTTTCAAGATATCAGCGTCCATTTATTGTAACTCGTGTTTGCTAAATTTTTCTCAGTTCTGAGATGAAGGCCACATGCGTAGTAAAAAGGCCAACATTTGAACTATTCTTATTTAACTTCTTGTATAAGATATAGAGGTTCTTGTATGAGCACCTGTGCAAGATCATCCATTCTTGATGAGCTTTGATAATTCTTCTTTATCGAGTCAAGAATGGACGATATTGCACAGGTACGAGTACAAGTTTTTCTCATATGACTCTCTCAATTATGCCCTATTGTCACCTTTTTATGATAAAACTGAGTGAAAATAGCTTCAAATTAATGGAACTTCATCTTTCAATTGTAATTACTTAATAACAATGTTGTAGAAAATACATGGCTATGCATAGCAACAAAGCACGATTGTTATGACGTCACAACTTATTTCGTAGAATGAGCATGGATACTCATAGCAACGGTATCTGTTGTCATGTTGATGATGTTTATAAACCAGTGATGTCATAAGTAATTCTTATCTTGCACGTGTGACTTTTTAGGATGAAAGATGGCAATATCTTGCATGTGGTAAAGATGGCTTTATCTTTGTTAGTCATATGAGAAAAGATAATCACAATATAGGGGATTGAAACAATTTTGGAAATTCGCGGAGGTCAACGCCGACATTTGCGGGACTTCGCAGGACATTGCGGGACACACAAATTAGCCTAATTTTGATCAAATTCGCGGGATAATCCCGCCATTCGCTTGACACACTTGACAGCTCTAGAATATGTCAGGCAACTACGCATTTTACCTGATTTTTGTGAAGCAAAATACTTCCATAGAAAAACTTGAAATAAGTGATCGCCGATACAGCAAAAAACGAACCCTGAAAAAAACGAACTTTATCCCGTGCCAAGACTATCACTATAGTCCTGAGAACATTTCAATCTTTTGCCTGTACGATTACAACATGGGAGAATTTTCTACGCCTCTTACACTTAAGATACCTACTTCAATAGATTCCTTGGTATTTAAGCATTCTTTTTTCGTGTAGTTGAATCCACAATTATCTGGGTTTATCATCAGAAAAGGAACATTTTTCTTTTTCATCGAGAGAGATTCCATCACTTTTCAAGATGGCAGTTGGATTTAAAAGGGGATTCCCTGTTTAACTACCCTGGAAGTGGCTCGGAAGTACCAATAAATGGAAGAATTTGACAGTTGAAATAAGTTAAATATCACACGCAAATATTGCGACGAAAATTTGACCTTCAGTGTTGCAGTCCTTTGACCTGAATGGATTTCACTATGTTGTTATCACTACATTTTTCATTGAATCAGCTATATTGACAAGAAAAATGAGATTGAAATCATCAATATTAAAGAAGTTATTCAAAATCTTTTCAGTCTTCTTTTTTCTGGTAACGCTGTATTTTAAACGTCCTCCTCATTATGTCAAACAGAGCTAAATTTATGCAATGTTGTAAAACGGAATGAAAAACACCAAATTATAATGTCATATAACTCTCTTAGTAATAAATTCTCGGAGCATTAGACACCAGTCTTCAGCATCTTAAGATACCTAATCTTGATAATTCATTGTGAAGTATGAAGTTGTATTTTAGTGTTGCAGATTTGAATGACTCATCTGTATATATGACATGATTGATGAAGTTCACTTGTGAAATAAAATAGATGAATAACTCACTTATATGGCTTGATGAACTCTCAATTGTAATTCTTCTTTCAAAGCTCACTCATTTGACTTTTTAAAGTATACCTAAAGTTTTAGTCTATAACAACATATTTTAGAAATTTAATTTAAAAGAATTTCAAAATGGCAGATCTTTCTGTACAGTACATACATATATTATAAAATTGATGAAATTGTTATCCTTGAAGTTTAAGTTTCCATAGCTTTTTATAAAACATTTCAAATGCATGGAGACATTAATCATAATCCATGTTCCATTTCAGGTAGATCTCTAGCCTAGTGTGCACTTGAGGTCAAAAAGATGGCAGATGACTATCCACCAGAGAGGGAAGTAAAGGCAAGTACATAATAATACAACATAACAATTATAATCCAATTATTCATTAAATTCACAGTTTTATTTATATATCTCCAACGTTTAAGTCAAGAATATTACATTATCTTGTGTGCCTCAGCTGCAATTTGTACGGCAGTAGCACATAAAATCAATTGTATGAGAACACTACATAATTCCTCATATTATTTCATATCATTTTTATTAAGTACGTGTTAGATATCCTTATTATGACCAATACTCCATACATAAGGCTAAGGTACTCATTCAGAATGGTTTTGGATACAGGGTTTATCCCTCAGATAGATATAGAAATATCCATACCGCACCCTGAATGTGCTGTATATGCCTCATATTGTGTACTTATAACCTCAGTAGTTATGATATACCATATTGTATATGTACAGTTTACGATAAATGAATGTTTTAAATACATGTACCATAATCTGATTTGTTTCAGGAGTTTTGTTTCAAACAGTTGGCTAAAGTTAAAGTGTGCGATGGCCCAATACCAAATGTAAATTCCAGATTACAACTTCTAGCTGTTTCAAATAAATACGGATTAACATTTGCAGGATATACAGAAGGTATTTGTTCTGAATGAGGAAGATTTGAGATTTGCAAGTAAAAGTAAACCGCAAACCCTCAGCCAGTTTAATTTATATTCCAGATCTTTGATCTGTTGAAAGGTTCTAAGGAATGATTTCTTGAAATTATTATAATATTTATAGTACTATATTACATTATTGTATAGTGATTAAGTAAATCATGGCTCATGACAATTGAGAGGCATGTTAAATATCAAATGAAGTATTAATTAGAAGGTCTCGTAAGCTCACCAGCATCACAACTGGGTGTTACACTTAGTGTCTGTTATTGTCACAACTGAGTGTAAAACTGAGTGTTACACTCAGTTAAGGATTTGAGAATTTGCCTGTACTCAGATGAAAAACGAGTTGAACTTGGTTAAATCACTAAAATTCCAGAATGTTTTTTTATTATATGTTTTTAATTATTAAGAAAATATTTTCAGGTTTCAAAATAATACAGACAGCAGAATTGTCCAATATTGTCGCAAAAGCCACAGAGATAAAATCAGATTACGGATTTTTTCATGATGTCAAGACACTATCGCCACCTATTTCTATTGGATGTAGCAGTGATGATATTTCGTTACTCATTTGTATGGTAACTGAAAGTGGAGTCGTTGGCCACATATATGATGTTAGGAGTTTCGCTGATAAGGTAACTTAATACATCAAAATCATTAATTTGTGTTGTCAATTTCTATTTCAGTTTGAAGTGACATTTAAGTGACATACATTTTAATAATAAATTTGTACTGTATTAATGTAAAAGCAATCGATCTTATAATGGAGATTAATGCTCCAATGAAACTGTCAAAACCTAAAATTAATTTGTCAAGGGTATATTATGATGTTAAAATGCTAGCTAATGGATGTTTTTCTCATTTAAAGACTAAATGGGTTAGATTCACCTTTTTGCCTTTTTGAGCGTGACACATTGTTATTTTTGATGTTACCTTCTTATATTTCTTTAGAACACACAGCCATTTGCTGTTATCCCAATTTCCACAAACAAACAGTGTGAGTTGCTTGATGTCATGTGGAACCCGGGTGGTGCTGATTTCTCAACTCTTCTCGGCACTGTTACCAGTGACGGGACACTGAACTTGTGGAGGGTGGCCGAGACAGCCACTTTGGTGTCAAGCCTCCAAGGGGCAAACGCAACAGCAAGTAAGTTTAATATTATTTGATTGGTCATTTTATGATAACAATTGACACGATACAAAATTGTATGTTTTCCTGTTAAACATAATAATTTTAATTTACAGAATTGTACATTGAAAATGACAGTTGAGATATGAGGTATGAATTATAATACAAGCAAAGCTCAAGCCAGAATTAGAACAATGCTGCAACTAAGATTTGAATGAAAGTACAAATAAATTGAAAATACAGCTGCAACTCAAGTAAATTGATATATTGTTCAGTAAACATGTATTCAAGTTGGTTTAGAGAATCTCGTAGTTCATGTTGAATTGAATTCTAATTTAAACTTTAGCACTGATATGCCATCTATTGAGTGATTAACTGTCTTATCCTTCACTGCAGTTTGTTGGAGTCCAAAGGGGAAACAGATTGTAGCTGGCAAGAGAGATGGCTCCCTCTGCCAGTATGACCAGAAACTAACCCAGAAAAAAGAATTTCCACGACCAGGGTGTTTCCCAGGTGACCTGTCATGCCATGGTATGTAATGCTATTGCATTGATTGTATTATAATTTGTTCACCACCTAAAATTGAACAGTATGTATTGGATCTGTCCCATATGGAATGGTCATAAGTTTTTATGTCACCACCAAAAAGTGACGATAGTTGGCGATCAGTGGTTGGCGATCGGCGTCCGTAACAAATTCTTACAACTTCAAATAACTTAACAAATACTGTTTAGACTGACTTCAATTTTTTCAAAATCATCTACAAGTTTTTAGAAGTTCAAATCTGACTTTATATTTGAGATTTGACCTTCAATGACCTTCTCAAGGTCAAAATAGGTCAAAAAGGTATTTTTTCAACTTGCGTCAATTTCTTTTTCAAAATCATCTTCAAGTTCTCAGAAGTTCAAATCTGACTATAGATTGAACTCATAATATTGTGAGCAACTAGGTGGTAACATTCTGTTTCTGTATGTAATCATGATAGGCAGATTCAAGATCCCCTGTGTAATATGTCTATTTGTACTGTTACATAAACATGTACAACACAGAGTATAGAATGTAGCATCTGCAGCCTTTGTATAAGTTGTGTACTCAGTCAGACACCCTGAATTACTCAATAAACATAGTATTTTGTTTGAAGTATATAAGAAAAAATACTTATACTCTATTTGCAAAATTACAATTTCCCATTCTATAACTGTATGCTATGTTTATATTTTCAGTGTGTGACATCATGTGGCTAAGCACTCATCAATTCGCTGTTGCTTACTCTAATACAAATGGTGATCCAAGTGAACAGCCATACATCGTTCTTCTTTCTGCACCGGTATGTCCTTCTGCCTTTAACCAGCCCACTCCCTTAAGGAAATCAGACAAAAATGAAACAAATCAAGTCACTGGCCTCAGACTCATTGTATAGTGCCTTGCTGAATTCCCAAATATTTATATACACATGCACTATGTCAATGTCTTGTTTGGAACTGTAATATAGGCTGTAATAGTGCCATTGTGATGTCTTAGACTATGGCAGACTGCATGTCTTTGAATATATTTATCCGATAGATAAATAAAAAATAACCTCTCCATCCCTTTTCATACCTCCTCCAACATACATTTGACATCAGTCGAGAAATGAGAACTTTTATATTAGGAATAATAATTTTGTGTAAAATTTTTCAGAAGGGTGTTGAGCCGAAGTATACAAACTATGAAGATGTCTGCTTTGGAAGTGGTGAAGAAAGAAAACCTAAATATTTCTTCAAACATTTGGCAGAGTGGTGAGTTGAAATGATGTTGAGATGATATTCACTGGTCAAAAAGATCTGATTGATGAATGGAATGGAAAATATCCCATAGGAGTGTTTAAATACTTTCATAGTCAATTGTGAAAAATGAGCTAAAATATGTGGCACTTTTACCTGTATGAAAAAGACTTACCAGTGCAAAGGTTTTATATTCTTTTAGGGATATCCTGCTAGCAGGCAGCAATAATGCAATGGAGATTGGTGCCATGGGGAAAAATCCAACAGATCCCGTAAGTTTACACTTAAAAATAAAGCATCATTTATCAACAACTGAAATGTTTAAAAAGAGTGTTTGGCAATGTTCCTCGAAAATACATAATGAATTATGACTTATGATATATGAAATTCTTTTGGTTTTCAATTATATATTTAATTTATGATATTTTAATTCACTGAATTTGATCAGATTTCATGCCTTACACCTAACAAAAGGTTTTACTAACAGATGTTTTTCCAACTTTCGCCTTGCAAAACCTTTGAAATTAAATGAGAAATTGACTTTTATGTTCACAAAAACTCCAATTGCCATTTTTCTTCAAGAAGTCCATTTTGAAAAAAGTGGCAAAGTAGCTCTAAAAGTGATAAGATTTGCCTAAAACCATGAAAAAGCATTCCATTTGGATTAGAGGGTGAGAGAGTAAGATGAATATTCCCATTTTTACGAATGAATGAGCTTAATGACGGTTATGCAGTTTTCACTATTTCCCCTTCCAGAATAGCTGGGATAGATGGAGCTTGGAAGACAGTGGCCGTGCAGAACTGCCTTTGACGGCAACCCAAGATGATACGTTTCCTATGGGCCTTGCTTTGGATTATACGTCACAGTACAACATACCAATCAGTAAGGATAATTGTGCTTTGGATATGAAAGCACCCGATTGCTTCTTTTATTCCACCAAATGAAGTTTAAGTATGGATATAGACAGGACTAATTGGCTATAACTCTATTGTAGAATGTTCAAAATTGAATATATTTTGTTGAGTGGGATTTGCTTTGATAAGTCATTGTTTTTCTTGTTTGAAAATTACTGTATATGTGGTAATTTTGCCTAATCATTTAATTTCCCTATTGCCTAATATTTGGCAGGTTTGGAAAATTAAATGTCGGAAATGGTCTTCATAATGTTAACCAATGTGTGTATGTTCTTCTGCTTTAGATGATACAGATGTTCACCCGCCCTGCCCAATAGTGCTGATCTTGAGTACAGATGGCGTGTTAGTGTCATTCTATGCTATGAACAAGCACCAGGGGGCACCACCACTAACTAAAGCTCCTGTTGCCCTGACATCGCAAGGAGCACGTCCACCAAATGGTAAGTGCTATATTTCAGATACTATTATTTAAAAGATTCCAAATTAAAGAACTAATTAAATATTTGAGTTGATTTTATAATGTCACCACCAGAAGTAGTGACATTATTATAGTCTCCAACTATTTTCTGGATGATGTTCGGTTGTGGATGGGTGGTGTTTGGCAGTTTGTGTCTGTAGCAAATGACAGGTGGTGATATTTTGCATGTTATTGCCTTGTTTAACGATTGCAATTTTTCATTAGGTGCGTTATTCATACCCCAGGGCCCAAAGACAGCAGCCCAGGCCCCGGCACCTGTACAAGCATCAGTTCCTCTACCTACTCAAAGTTTGGTCACTGATGCTTCAAAAGCCACAGCAGCTGCTACTACTTCAAGTGGGGCTCCCCCTCCTTTTGGGGCTCCATCTGGTGCTCCCCCACCCTTTGGTGTACCAGCAGGATCAGCCTCATCTGTTACAGGATTCGGGGCTTCATCATCTGTTGGCCAAAGCACCGGAAAACCAGGATTCTCCTTTGGTACAACAACTCCACAGTCTGGCTTTTCTTTTACAAATTTGACTGTGAAGACGTCAGCTTCCACTGGTCAGCCCATATCAGCCGGCTTTTCTGCAGTCCCCCTTGGTAGTAAACCTGCTCAGGCAGTTAGCAAAGGCCAAGCCCCGGGAAGTGCACTTGGAACTGAGGCCGCTGCAATGAGTCAGTCTGCTTTCACAGTAAAACAAACAACACAAGTGGCTCCCTCTAGTGTGCAGAATACACCAACAGGGGTTCCAACTGGAGTGGTTCAGAAACCTCCACAATCTACTCTACAGGCTCCTAAGGCTGTGACCCAGCCTGTGAAAGTTTTAGCCTCTAGCTCAGGCACTCCTACAAGTCCTGGGTTCAGCTTAGCTAAACCAATATCAGTGCCAACAGGTAAATCTTACATCAACCCTTACCCCCGTTTCCTTCAATACAATGTATTTATGAACAGTTTTGGTGATTTAAGATAATGTACAAATGGAAAATAGCCACGAGTACAATTTTGTCAAAACCACACAATACTTTGTTGATTTTAAAGCGCAACACAAAATCTCAGATTGCACGTTATTTTATGTCTAATTCAACACATGTCACCTGTGTATATCATGAACCATAAATCTAATAAATACATGCGATTTATTACAGTGAAGACTATTAACACTGACAAAACAGCAGCTGTCAACCTCCAAGCTACAGATGCCTCCAATCCTTTCATTAAGAGCATCTTGGATGAGGTAGGCCAGTTTAGAATATGGATTATATTCAGAGGATCATTTTTAAAATGCAAATAGGGTGGATTAATTGGTAAAAATTAAAATTATAAGGAATGTGGTAACATCTAACTGTTTAAGAGAAGCAAGATAAAGGCAAACCTTTTCCCCGAAAAAGGACATCTTATAGAGAAAGTCTCAATGTTTGGCTATACTGTACAGTAAACTATGAAAACATTATCTCAGGTCATCAGTTCTTGAGGCTATCATATAAAGTATTTATTCATTTGATATGTGTCTTAAACATGGAAGTATACTATATCTTAAATAACATATTGTTTTCTCTCTTGCCCAAATTTTCACTTACTCAAATCTGTAAAGTTCTTTGGAAAGGAAAGTTCAAAATTGAATAAAGTGTATCAAGGGATGACATAACCATTGTTCATATTGATTAGATGGCCCACTTTGAGCAAGAAATGAAAGACCTTAAACAGAGATCAGCTGGATGTAAGGTTGACATTGGTACAAAACAAGAACTAATTGCAATGAAGACAACTACTGAAGAACTTACAGACTTCTGCAAAGAGATCCAATCAAAAACAAAGGTAAGGAAGAGCTTGAAACATTTAAAAGAAATTGAAGTGTGACCATCACCATACCTCTTCACAGTTCAAATTATTGTTTATGTCTGTCTTCCCCTGTTGGTTTATGGTTTGAGTATAAATTGCTTAATAGATTATTTCTTGTGCAGTATTCATTTCATGGATAGACAGTGTCAACATAGGTCTGAGTAAATTACTAGAGTCCCTCTTAGAAAACTAATCCCCCTCATTAAAGACCACATGACAGTGCGGATGATTCCCTTTTCAAATATACTTCCTAGGAAATCAATGCAGAAATCCATGAGTTGAAAGCTGATTCTTTGGATGCATTTGCGGCTGTAGAAGAGGCACGATCTCGCCAGAAACTCAATCATGAGCCCCGATATTTGAGTCTTCTTCGAGCCCGTTCCCTAGATCCCGCCAGTGCCAAGGCCATGAAGGACATCACACTGCATTATCACTACTTGGAGAACAGTATTAATGAAGTGAACATATCCCTTGATAATGAATGGGAGAAATACCAGGCTGATAAGAGGCAACGTTCCAAGTGAGTTGAATTTATAAGAATAATATAAACCTAATTCAGTAGTTCTGATGGAAATAAGCCAATAGAATCTCACTTTCAATACAGGAACATGAATATGGATTTTCAAAAATATAATTTTCATGTCATGGTGACATATTGTTATGGTCTCTGTTTTTTGTGACAGTGGCTGGCGATCAGCTGTTGGTGATTGGTGTCTGTAACAAATGGTGGTGACATTTTACATGTTACTTAGATAAAAATGAAAAGATGATGAATAATTAACTTCAAAAATTTGTACATGCTTGTAGGAAGATGGTCACCCCTGCTAGCGATGCCATCTATCGCACTCTTAAAAACAACCACAACACTGCGATGGGTCAAGGACGTATCATTGAACAGCTTACATCACAGCTTGCTGACATGAGATTACATAATACTACATCGTCATGGAGACCTAATAGCTACAACACTACAAGCCTTCTGTTAGAAAACTTTGAGAATCAACCAGAAAAGGGGTATGTTTAGTGGCAAAAATTATTATAAAGCTTTCATCATAATGTCAGTTTTGCAGAATTCATGTGTGAAATTTTAGCAATATTATGAGTTTTAAAGCACTCTGAATATTAAGAGAGAGGATGTTTTGTACTTGGGATTTCATATAATTTTGCTTGATGAAATTTTAATTTCATTTCCTTGTAACGTTACAGTGAGAAGGAGTTACAAGGTTTAGCTGCCAGTCTTATAGAAACATATCCCTCACCTGTCAAAGCAGCTGTAAGTAGTCCCGTGTCACCAGAGAAACGAGCCCAGTTACGTGAAATCCTTGGGCAGAGGAAAGTAACACCTGTTAAAGTAACTGCGCCAGGTAAGCTAAGTTGCATCATAAATCACATTACTTTTTCATTTCAATGATATGAATAAGAAATTGACATTGAATTTCCCATAGATTATTCAGATTATTTTGAGGGGAGTGCTATATTCGAGCTAAAAAACATGAGATGTTTTTCTAAACATTGAATCTCCATAAATTATTATTCAGATTATTCATTATTTTCTAGAATATGAACTGCATCTGCATATCCCCATTTTGGGAATAAGTTTAGTCCGTCTTTCAGTTGTCATGCGTGCCATTAATATGGATCTCCATTTGTGTAATGAATGAATAAAATTGATTGTATTCAATTCATCGATTGGTAACTCTGTCTTGTTATCAGGTAACTTGTCCATGTCGAGGCTGGTGTCTGCTCAAAAATTGAGACAAGTTTTGAATGAGAGTATGGAGAAGGCAGAAAAGCAGACGGAGGAAGTAAAATCACCAGCTCCCTCTAGTGGTGCTCTGCAGAAGACAGTCACTCACACACAAGTAAATATTTTATAAATATGGCTGTGAAATTACAAAAGTACAATAGCAGTATTATGAAAATATCAGTTGGACCTTATGTACAGTATTCTTTAAACAATAGATTTTATGGAGGAATATGTGAATAATTCAGAAAATGTGATTATACTCATTTTGAGATCTTAATTATATTTCTGAATTTGCCCTTCTGTACAGAATATTTATACAATGCTTCACTTTCAGAACAAACCTGTAAAGACGGCAAAGACTCAGCCCCCTGTGCGTGTCACAGCCCAGGCGCCATCTAATGTTGTTGTCCCTGCTGCATCTAAGGCTGTCACTCAGACTGTCACCTCAAGCCTGGCATCTGGCCAAGCCCCCCAGCTGAACAAGCCGCAGGGTCAGTGTGTTTTTAGCATAGGCTTTATTTTATAATTTGTATGAATCAGGCATAAATTGTCCAAATCACCAAAGTAATCAAAAAGTCAAAATATTTATGTTGTACAGATTTCAAATTAATTAAAATAAATAAATAAATTAATTAAAATCATTTTCCATTTTTAAACTAGACCATATGTGTGACATTTTCTTGGCTTTGTAAATAGGCCAGATTAAGCTAGGTTTATGATATGTTTTATACTATACTATTGTTTAGGTCAGTCAAACCTTAATCTTGGATCTCCGTCTGGAACATCTGTTGATGGGAAGCCTGTTTCTGCATTTTCTGGATTCAGTGCAGGAGGTGTCACTATTGGGCAGAGCAAGGCATTTAGTGCCACAGGTACATGGAGCAACTAAAGCTTTTATAAAATTCTGTTTACTGTGATTTCAATTTAAAAAATTGAAGTATGTTTATAAAGAAAACTGTGGTAAATGTAATTTTTTACTTACTTTATGTGCAAAATAGCTTCTGGCTTATAAAATCTGGTTTAGTCAAATATTTCAATTTAATTATTCTTGAGTACATACCTTTCAGGAAGTGCAACCTCTGCTAATGTGACAACAGCAAAATCTAAAACTGATGCTCCCGTTGTCAACTTATCACAGGCTGCTTCTGGAAATTCCACACAGGCTGCTCCCTCTCCATCTTCTGGCTTTACATTTGGTGGGAAATCAACTTCTGGTTCTGCATTTGGCTCAGCAAGCTCATTTGGAACAACAATTACAACAACATCTGTGACTCCTAAAGCTACAATTACAGTACAGGAATCGAAGAAGGAATCAACTGATGCGAAAGCTGATGCCAAAAATTCGGGATCTAGCTTTGTAGCAGTCAGTTCTGTTGCAGATAAACCTGCTGCTGCTTCTGTAACCGCGGCAACCAGCACTAAAGCGCCAGCACCCTCTGCTGGTTTCTCTTTTGGATCAACATCATCTGGTTCATCAGGATTTGCATTTGGTTCTAAAACAACAGCAGAGGCATCTGCTAAGCCTACGTCCAGTGCTGGATTCTCATTAGGTGATACCAAACCCTCTACTCCTTCGAATTCTGCGTTGAGTGGCTTACTTTCTGCAGACTCTACTCCAAAATCTTCGTCATCTACCAGCGCATCAGCAACTTCGTCGTCATCATCTGCTTCTGCATCTGGCTTTAAATTTGTGACAGCTGCAAGTTCTACTACGCCTGATAGTACATCAACTGATGCTACTTCAGGCACAGCTGCAACAACTGCAAGTATATTTGGTGGCACTGGTTCTGTCCCCAAAACCACAACATCCAGTGTGTTTGGTGGATCTGGGTCTAGCACTGGGTTCACTTTTGGAACGCCATCATCTGGTTCCATATTTGGTGGTGCACCCAAATCTGAAGCAACATCTACATTATCTGGTGGAATCTTTAGTATGAAAACAACAAGTAGTTCCGGCTCTGGTGGACTATTTCCTAGCCTCACAACAGCAGCGGATTCTACAAGCACTACAACAGCAGCAACTACCCCAACAGAAAGTGCATCTGGGTTTAAGTTTTCTTCACCGGAGGCATCTAAACCCTCTGGCTTTGTGTTTGCACCCCAAAGCTCTGCCACTTCTACACCTGCAACTTCAAGTGCACTAGCAGGATTATTGGGTAGGTTGGATTTTTCAGTAAAATAAAAAGCCTTTATTCTTTTTAGACCACCCTGTATATTATATGAATTATATTAAGTTGGACTGTTGGCATCCTTTTTGTTTTAAAACTAGTGGCCATTTTATATGTGTCAGTTATGAACTTTAACTTGAAAGGTAACAGAGTGATTTTCTTATTTATAGTGTGATATTTATATATGTAAATACATCCATGAATGCTTAACAAAATTTTTGAAGAAATTTACATGTCTTGACATTTCTGTTATCGTTATGATTTAATATAATTTTGCCGAGAGAAAAGTTGTGATAATTATTTAAATGTCATTTTGCTATGCCATTAATGGTATGGTACATAAAGAATTCAAGATGCCACATAAAACTTTATCAACATTCTTTTGTCATCATACTTTTTATTTCATGCTGTATTGCGTTTCAAAATCACAATGCTACCAAGGAAATGGATATTAATTTGTTGTCCTGCTTGCAGTATTAATAGAAACAAGTTATTTCATGACTGGGGGATTTCAGGGTAGTTGTAATTGTTCTTTCAATAGATTTTAAATTATTGATTATATTTGTACTTTCTAGGTTCTACAGAGGCTCCTTCTGGCACCAGTGCTCTGTCTGGACTACTGGGTGCTATGCCAATCACAAGTGCATCCTCTGAAGCACCCACTACTACATCACCATCCCCTACAGCTTCAACAGCTGAAACAACAGCAGCTGTTATTACTTCAGCTGTAACATCTGCAGCTGTAACAACTGCAGCCAAGAATTTGTTTGGAGCAACCTCTTCAGGTAAACTTTTTTTACTGAAACTGATATTACTTAGAAAAAGATTTCAAGACAATATAGTATGTAGAGCCCCCAGCTTATTCTTTTTTTCAAATTTCTTTAGGTTCTGGCGGATTATTTGGTACAGCCACAACAACTGCAGGAGGAAGTGTATTTGGATCTGCACCAACAACATCTGCAGGAGGAAGTACTTTTGGAACAGCTGCAACAACATCTGCAGGAGGGAGTATTTTTGGAACAGCTGCAACAACATCTGCAGGAGGAAGTACTTTTGGAACAGCTGCAACAACATCTGCAGGAGGGAGTATTTTTGGAACAGCTGCAACAACATCTGCAGGAGGGAGTATTTTTGGAACAGCCACAACAACATCTTCAGGAGGGGGACTCTTTGGAACAGCTGCAACAACATCTTCAGGTGGAAGTATTTTTGGAACAGCCACAACTACATCTGCAGGAGGGAGTCTCTTTGGAACAGCCACAACTACATCTGCAGGAGGGAGTCTCTTTGGAACAGCCACAACTACATCCGCAGGAGGGGGTCTCTTTGGAACAGCCACAAGCACATCTGCAGGAGGAAGTCTCTTTGGGTCAGGTGGTACCCCATCTACTGGAGGAGGGTTATTTGGAGCAGCCACAACAACATCTGCAGGATCAGGAATCTTTGGAACAACAGTGACAACAACTGCAGGAGGGAGTTTATTTGGAGGAACAGCTGCAACATCTACAGGGGGAGGAAGCTTGTTTGGTGCAACAGCCACCAGTGGAACTGCAACAGGAGGAATCTTTGGACAGCCTGCGGCATCTTCATCATCTAGCACAGGTATGCATTTTGGTTCCCACAATATAGTGTCTAGTAATCTGGCATATCACATGACACAAATAGTATGTATGTATCAACATATTTATGTCACGGCAAGTGATGACATATTGTTATAGTCTCCAACTTATTTTTGGTGGTGGTTGGTAGTGACAGGTGGTGACATTTTGAATGTTAATACCTTGTTGTTTTTTTTCTAAAATCCCTATGGCTTTTTCCTGTGAAATTGCTGTGAAGACAGCCTTTATTATTAATTTGCATAAAATTGAATATGAATTACTAGGTGTGTTTGGGGGCTCTGGCGGGGGTTCATTTGGTCTTGGGAGTGCACCCAACCCAGAGGATGCTAAGAAGAATGTGTTTGGCACCAGCACGGGTGGGAGCTTTGGAGCAGCTACAACCCAGTCAGGTAAATGAAGTGGGTCTATGAAAACTAGTGTAATAAAAGCATATGAATAAATATGTTTAATTTATACCAATATAGTTACTGTACATATATCATGTCAGATAATTTGAATAATATATTGTATTGTAAATTCTCTGAAATTCTCGTAGACAGCATTCATTCATGAAGTTCTTTTTTAATGAACTACAGTTTTTTTTAATTAGATTATATTTGCAAACCCTTGTAACATTCCAGGGAGCACTGGTTTGTTTGGTAGTAGTAGTAGTGGAGTGTTTGGTGCACCAAGTAGCACCAGTAGTTCAGGTGCAGTGTTTGGTGCAACTAGCACAGCACAAGGGGCTGGCACCACAGGATTTGGTACAGCCAAGCCAGCGCAAGGTAATATTCGGCTATTTCTTACTCTGTAGCGTAGGCACTGAATGGAAGTAAGGGAAGGAGTTCTGGAACATGCTTTTCAAACTTTTTTCATAGTTTTTGAACTACATGTATTGTTTATATCTTGTTTAACTTAATCTATTTAACAAACTGATATCTGAAATAGCTCAAAATATTGCTGATGAATTTTGATAATTCTCATGTTTACAACATGAATAGCTTTCTTTGCATGTACAAATTTGTCCATTTCAGCTGGAGGTTTTGGTTCAGCAGCGGCTTTCGGCGGAGGGGCTACATTTGGAAGTGCTCCCGCATTTGGAAGCCCACCCAAATTTGGTGGTGGGACTGGCGCATTTGGGGGTGGTGCAACATTCGGAAGCACCCCGGGGGGATTTGGTAGTACACCCCAGACTGGCACACAACAAGGAGGCTTTGCTGCGTAAGTTATCAATTTTATGTCATGCTTGATATGTCAAAATAGCCAACATTTTAGAGATTATATCAATAAGTATTGCCAATTTTGCTATTCTTCTCTTGTTGTTTTGATTTTCATAAAACTTTCACAACTAAAGGAACATATATCTGACCTTAATCTGTCAAACTATCTTGACAATAAACTCAGTATTGACAAAGTTATGGTTACTATGGTAACCATTGTCAGGCAGCAACCGTGAATTGATGCTTAGGGTGCCTACTTAGAGCACCTCATGTTGTCAGGCTCATAGCCAGCTTTTGCGATATCAACAATTTTTATTCATCATAAAGTGTTTCCAGCTTATTGTTCCAGTTAATTCCAGGGGGTCACATTTCACAACTTTTGCTCAATCTCTCGAAAAGTGCTCGAAATGGTGAAAAACTGCATGAATTTGAAAGAATTTTTGGCCAGGGGGTTGGTTAGATTGTCAGGAAATGTTTATAGAATAATAGCAGATATATGTTTTTCTTATATTGTGAAAGTTTCATCAAGAAAGAAGCAAAAAACAAAAGTTATAGCAAAATTAGCAATACTTCGTGAATGTACATAATTTCTTGCACATTCAGAAAGTCATTTTTGTTTTGGCAGTTAAGAGTTGATAAAGAACTTGCCAATTTTGTTTCATTTGAAAACATTGATTTTCTGGTTTGATGTCAAGCAGATTAGAGGAGGTTGTAATACTGTTGTTTCATGTGATCCTTTACAGACATGAATTCAATTCTGTAGAATTCTGTTCTCTGTAAGGAAATTGTAGAGGTTTTATGCAAGCACATCTATTTAGAAGTGTTTTGTGATTTCAGATTTGCGGGAAATGCAACCAGTCCAACATTTGGCAACATGGCCCAGCAGGCATCAAATGTTCCATCTTTTGGTTCAATGGCAGCATCAGATGGTGGTGGATTTGGATCTGCAGGTGGTGGAGGTTTTGGTTCATCTGCACCTGTATTTGGTGGTGCCCAGCAGCCATCAACTGGATTTGGTTCTCCAGCCCCAGGTATATTGTGACTAATATTGAATTTTTCAATCTCTAGAGGTGTTTTCAAGCAAATTCTTTTATGTACACTATGGCAAACTTTTAAGGAATTATACAGTTATGTTTAAAATAAAGTGATTTTTTAGACAAACATTCATGGTCTGGTTTGATTCCAATTGAGGAGTTAAACAAGGATTTATCCTCTCTCCCACCTTGTTTATAAGCTAGTTGTTATGAATGACTAAGAGGACTCCTTAAAAGCAGTAGATATTGGACATATTACAAATGAAAACCTTTTGCTTTATCGTGATGGTAGTGTTATTACTGATAGACATCTATGAGTCCTTATCAACACTGCTCATAGTTTTGGAGTTTATTGAGGCTTTGAATTCAGCAAACAGAAATCTAAGCTAATTGTCAATGCAAAAAAGTTGACCATTCCAAAATATGACAGTTTTGTGGTCTCAAATTTGCCTTTATTTGATAACACAACAAAGCTTGAAAGCATACGATACATTTAGCTTATAAATTCAATGCTGATAAACACAATAGTCTTAATAGCCTACACAAGTGGAGATGGGTATAGTGAAAAAGTTATATAATCCCACAGATCTATATTAATGCTTATTATACTTTTCTAAACACACCAATTCAATTATGAGACTACAGAGAGAGTACACACATCACATGATATCAGTGATTTAAATGTAAACACTTATCCATTTGTACATATCATTGTACACTTATCCATTTGTACATATCAGTGTACACTTATCCATTTGTACATATCAGTGTACACTTATCCATTTGTACATATCAGTGTACACTTATCCATTTGTACATATCAGTGTACACTTATCCATTTGTACATATCAGTGTACACTTATCCATTTGTACATATCATTGTACACTTATCCATTTGTACATATCAGTGTACACTTATCCATTTGTACATATCAGTGTACACTTATCCATTTGTACATATCAGTGTACACTTATCCATTTGTACATATTAGTGTACACTAATCCATTTGTACATATCAGTGTACACTTATCCATTTGTACATATCAGTGTACACTTATCCATTTGTACATATCAGTGTACAGGGCTCTTCCATGTACTTCATACTCTAGGCAACCAACGTTTCTGCAACAAATGTCACAAGAGCTGCAATGGATAGATTCGTGAAAACCTATCATCTAAAAGATAATTTTAAAATTAACTTTTAAAAATTATCTTTTATAATATCAAAGCATATCAAAGCACATTTTTATCACACTTTGAAAAAGTGCTATATTGTCGTCGTCTTGTGCTGTTGGGCGGGCGGGCGTGCGGGCGGCACTTAAACCAAATCTTGTCATCAAATTTCCAGGATAACTGCTTACCTGTTCAACTTGAAATTTTTACAGATGCAATAGCAGACTATTGCCAAGATCTGATTAGGTTTTGGGTATGCTGGCTGAATTACATGGTGGCCATTTTGAATTTTTCAATTTGGCGGCCATTTTGAATTTTTCAACTTGCTCCAAATTGACCAATTTTTTTTTTAAAAACACCTACAAGTTCTCAAAAGCTCAAATCTGACCTTAGATTTCAGATTTGACCTTTCATTCACCTTCAGTGACCTTGAAAAGGTCAAAAAAGTTGATTTTCTAAATTGATATTTTGGATTTAAATTTAGGTCAGCTTAATTACAAAACACCTACTGAGGTCTGAAAAAGTGAAATTTTCAAGGTCGAAGGTCTAGGTCATTAAACTAGGTCACAGATTTGACCTTTTATTCACCTTCAGTGACCTTGAAAAGGTCAAAAAGTTGATTTTCTAAATTGATATTTTGGATTTTAATTTAGGTCAGCTTAATTACAAAACACCTACTGAGGTCTGAAAAAGTGAAATTTTCAAGGTCGAAGGTCAAGGTCATTAAACTAGGTCACAAATGATGTTATCCAAGTTTCTCAAAGTTTGAGACTTAAAATCAATTCTTGTCATCAAAATTCCAAGAAAACCGCTAACCTGTTCAACTTGAAATTTTTACACATGCAATAGCAGACTAGTGATAAGATCTGATTAGGTTAAGGGCATGCTGGGTGAACTACGTGGCGGCCATTTTGAATTTTTCAACAAATCTTGTCATCAAAATTCCAGAAAAAACACTTATTCGTTCAACTTGAAATTTTTACAGATGCAAGAGCAGACTATTGCCAAGATCTGATTAGGTTTTGGGTATGCTGGCTGAATTGTATGGTGGCCATTTTGAATTTTTCAATTTGGCGGCCATTTTGAATTTTTCAACTTGCTCCAAATTGACCAATTTTTTTTTTAAAACATCTACAAGTTCTCAGAAGTTCAAATCTGACCTTAGATTTCAGATTTGACCTTTTGTTGACCTTCAGTGACCTTGAAAAGGTCAAAAAGTTGATTTTCTAAATTGATATTTTGGATTTAAATTTGGGTCAGCTTAATTACAAAACACCTACTGAGGTCTGAAAAAGTGAAATTTTCAAGGTCGAAGGTCAAAGTCATTAAACTAGGTCACAAATGATGTTATCCAAGTTTCTCAAAGTTTGAGACTTAAAATCAATTATTGTCATCAAAATTCCAAGAAAACCGCTAACCTGTTCAACTTGAAATTTTTACAGATGCAATAGCAGACTAGTGCCAAGATCTGATTAGGTTAAGGGCATGCTGGGTAAACTACATGGCAGCCATTTTGAATTTTCCCACAAATCTTGTCATCAAAATTCCAGGAAAACCACTTATCCGTTCAACTTTAAATTTTAAAGTTTTGGCCATGCTGGTTAAATTGCATGGTGGCCAGTTTGCTCTTCAAAGTGCGATATTTATCACTGTGTGTCTTGTTGTATATGATGTAAACAGGAAAGTTGTAACCATGGAAAGTCATTTTGTAAAGAAACATGGATGAACATTTTTTAAATAGTTCAGTTGGAAATGAAGAGAGAGACCAAAATAATGAGCTTGAGATGAGAAAAGAAGCTGAATACAATTAGCTATAAAAGCAAATACAATAGGAGATGCAAATACAAACAAGTATTATTAAAAAAAGAAGATCCTCACCTGACATCCTAAGGAGAACCACATTGATACAGGTAACTCTTCTTCTTTGGCATTAAGCATGTGGCTTAATTAATCATATACGGTAAAGCCTGTATATCTAAATACCTATCTTATCTGAACACCTCTCAATGTAAACTTTTTTAAAATGTGAACATCTACCAAACCAAATACTTTTGGCCCTTCCTAAGGGCATTCAGATTAGACAGGTTTTACTGTATATATACATGTATACCCTAAATCATATGCATCTACAGAAAACAAAGAAATGTAATTTGGTGCAGTGTTCTCAATTATAGATATGATGTACAAGTACTACTGCAGTTTATGCCACCTCTTGAAACCACATTCTAAGCACTTATTCTTCAGCACAAGTGAATTGCTTTCTGTTAGTTTTGATGTAATCATGGCTTCATATCAATGCAGAGCAAACTTTAAATCTGTCAAATAGACAGTTCTTCACTTTCTGTATGTCAGCAAGTTCCTGAGCCATTCTCTAGCTTTTCTGTGTAAATGTCCCCATGCAAATCAGCTTATGCAGACACTTATTTTAACTATATTTTAACTGGCAGTGAACAAATTCAGTTTTGATAAGATCAAAGATTATTCATGCCTGGTCTACTGATGATCCACCAAGATGGCAGTCAATGTACACAAACATGTATGCTGGTATTTTTATGTTCTATGTTAATGTTGAATTACTTTTCAGTTTTGTTCAAAATGATTAATTTGAGTCTCATTAATTTAATGAAAGTAATTGTTACTTGTATGATCCATGGTATCTTTTAATCCATTTAGACTAGTCGTTTGTATGTTCAGCTAGCTTCAGTAGATTCTGAAAATCCATGTGCCACTATTGTAAAATGTTGACAAATAAATAAGTAATGAAATCAAATGATTTGACATTTTCAGGGATCGTTCTTGACATGAATATCAGAAAGGAGACCACTTACAACTTCATTGCTTCAGGAAGAATATGTGACATTTGCGGAAAAGTTTTGAAGAATGAGCATGGTGTGAGCATCCACAAAGGAAAGATGCATAAATGGAGATAACTGAAATAACTGTAACATAATTGTCAAAAAATCCAATTATTGGACATCAGCATGGTGTAAGGGGATAACAGGGGCTTGGAGCAAGACTGCATACCTTTGAACAATTACAAGTTCAAGGAGAAATTAACTATCAGGAAGCTATGGGAAAAATTTAAGCCATACAGAAGTCAAAAAGCCAATAATAAAAAAGAAGTTAATTGCTCTGATTTCAATGGACTTTACTGATACAACCTCACCTGGAATGGCAATTGATACAAAATCTTAGCATGCATATTACAATTGGAACGGATTGAAACAAAGGAAGTCTCTAGAATGTAAAGTGGAACAGCTATGCAATATATCAATACAAATGACCAAGCTAAACATAACACTTTGCGAAATATGAGGCACATGACAATACAGATCAATGGAACTACATTGTCAAAGATCAAAATATTAAAGACCCAGTAAATAAGCTTGAAGCCTCACCTTAAACCAGCAAATGATACACAAACAACATTCTGACATTATGAAAATAAACCAATAAGAGATGAAACACAAGATGATCTTCTGATACTATAAAACATCGCTATTAGACATCACACCAGAAATAGGTCTAATTAAAAACATGTTTACAATGTCAAAACGATGAGAAATAACACAGTGGACCAACTGTGAACTATGAAGAACTATGAACTATGGGACATCTGAAACAGACTCTTGCATTTAATATTACATTGATTCTAAAAATTAAACCACTCTTTTCCTCCAAACCTTCCCCTCATTAACTGAGGCTCACCTTCTTCCCATCCTCTCTTGCTCAAAATATCTCTGCTACTGTCTGTAATGTATTATATGGAAAAAATATTACAAAAACAAAAATAACCATTCTTCCAAATGAATGTTGATCAATTTTATCAATCTGGTCATTCATTTGTTCATTCAGTTGTCTATTCAACTATTGTTTGTTGTGAAAATAAACTTATAACATCAGTACATTAAAACACTATAAACACTGTTGTTGGTGGTGAAAATAAACTTATAACATCAGTACATTAAAACACTATAAACACTGTTGTTGGTTGTGAAAATAAACTTATAACATCAGTACATTAAAACACTATAAACACTGTTGTTGGTGGTGAAAATAAACTTATAACATCAGTACATTAAACACTATAAACACTGTTGTTGGTGGTGAAAATAAACTTATAACATCAGTACATTAAAACACTATAAACACTGTTGTTGGTGGTGAAAATAAACTTATAACATCAGTACATTAAAACACTATAAACACTGTTGTTGGTGGTGAAAATAAACTGATAACATCAGTACATTAAAGCACTATGGAGAAATAATAACTGTAACAAAAATGTCAGGATGGCAGAAATGATAATGAGCAAAATCTTTTTTTTGGTCAATTTGTGAAGTCACAATCTAAAAGTATCATCATTTTTTCAGCATTAAGGATATGTGACAGGTTATTTTGTCTTATTAACCCCTACTAAATTTTCTTGTTATGTTATACATGCTTCCTCTCTGTGTTCTTAAATATTTCTAAAATTGAAGTAGTGTCCCATTATCATTGCTTCCCGTGATATTCTTCTCAGTGGTGAGATATTATTCAGTAGACATGAGTTATGTCTTTGCTGACCTTTGACCTTTCATGGTTACAATCCAACAAGGGCATATATGGAGCATGAAAGTTAAAGCTGCAATTAGTGATATAGATACTGGCAATATTGCAATCAACATTTATGATTTTGCAACCAATTACTTTTCAAAAATGATTACTGCTTTTTTCTGCTTATTATGGCCAAGTATATTACATGAAAAAATTATGAAAAATGTTCTGCTTCCTTCTTTTACATCATGACCAGCTGATCATGACAACACAGAATTGTAAAAATGCCATTAAAGATATGCATGGAATATCAAATTGAAAAAAATAGTTTCATATTTTACATTTACATTTTCAACTTAATTCTTCTAGTTGTATCCTGAAAATGTGTTTTATATAAAGAAGAAAACTTTTTATTTGACATTTTTTGGAAAATTGTCAAACAAAAAGTCTTAAGAAATTACATTTCAATGATAATTTGAATATATTTTCAAGATCTGCAAGGAGCCTTATTCAATTAATTACTCCGAAGTGTTGGATAACTCAGTTTTATGTTATTTTCCAGGTGGAAGTGTATTTGGTGGTGCATCATCAACTGGTACAAGTGCTTTTGGGACAGCACCTTCATTTGGATCTTCACCCTCGTAAGTAGTATTTTTTTTTAGTTTTTTTTTTTATTCAATTTAACTTTTAACATAAAAAAGTAGTAGTTTTCATGCCTTATATTATTTATTTAATATAGAAGAGAAATTCAGTTTTTTAGCGTTTATGATGGAACGTTTTCTATTTTTGTTTTACTTGGTGAGTCGTTGTCCCTCCATTTGTCTGACCTTCTGTCAATAATTTATAGACTTTTTAATAGTCTTTAGATTATTGACAGTTTTTAAGTCTGTAACATGTATAAGATTTCCAAATCAGGTGGTATAATATGTTGCAATTGATTTGAGTGTGAACTTCAGCTTGTCAGGTTTATATGCCACCTCCAAAGTTAGTGACATATTGTTAATAGTCTCCAATTTTTGTGAACATTTTCCAATAACCCCATGATTTCATGATGAGCTAATTCTGATCATATTGAGTTATGAGGATTAGATGGGTTTACTTATCCATGCGTTTATTGCAGTTCAACCTACCTATTTTTGAGAAATGACTGCAACAAAAAAGTTGAAAATCAAAAAGTTTTCAAAAAATATCAAAAATATCAAATATCAATAAGGAAAACTAGTTTTGGGTTTTTGCATGCATTTTTTCACATCTTTCAGTAATAATTTTATTTGCCGAAAACAAGAATGAATCCTGAGTGATTGAGTATTTACTGTTGTTTTAAAAAACAAATGACCACAGAGTAATTTTATTTTTCAGAAGTCCAAATTCTTCCTTCACCAGTTACAGAGGATAGAATCCAGCTCTTCAATGGTCATTTGACATGACTCCTTCCTTGGATGGTTTCCATAAATCACTTGTGGACACTTATGGGATGACTCATATTCTATGGTGGTTACTTGAAAGATGACACATATATCTGGTGGATACTTATTGTATGACACACATCATAAATGAACACTTATTGGATGATCTCATTCTTTTGTGGTTATTAAAAAGATGACACACATATCTGGTAGACACGTTTTGTATGAGACACTCATCTTGTTGACACTTATTAGATGACACTCATCCATTGTGGACACTTGTTGGATATTGGATGACACATATCCCTAATTGACACTTAGATTAGATGACACATATTTTTGGTGGACACTTGTTTTATAACACTCATTACTGATTGTACTTTTTGGATGTGCTTTCATCATATTTTCGAAAATTCTTCAAGATGAAATAATGGCTCTTGTGGGTTAAAAATTTTGATTGTCAAATAAAGTGTGTCCCAAATATACAGTAGAATGTTGTGCTTTAAAAATTAGAAAATATATGTATTTTACTTTTCTTGATTTTTATCATGGACATAGCTTAGAACAAAATGACATTTTAGCACAATGTCAATGGATATTATTTATGTATACTGGAAAGACCCTAGTAGATATAAAAAATCAGTGCATACTATCTAAACTATGGAATTTGGTAATTTGGACCAATAACCCCCCCCCCCTCCTACATTTGGCGAAAAAGTGAATCTTCAAAAAAACTGATTAATGTACCACGAGGATGAATTCCACATCTTGTTATACCACTACCAGTGAAAGCGGGACCCAATTATAGTAGATAAAATTTAATGAACAATACAATTGAGATGTGATCATTCTGATGCTTATCACATATTCTCATGGCTGAGAAGAAATAAGGTGTAATGGTTTGCCATGATGAATCCACAGTGCTTATTGTCCAGAACACCAAATATCAACTAATAAGTTATTTTGGATATTATAGATGTCACCATCATTGAGACTTCTGGGAGTTCACCTCTTGTAAACTCTTTCAGAGGTTTTTTAATAGTAGTAAAAAAAGAGTTAAACCAATAGAAAGTCAATTTCTTCGAAGTGGGCACATAAGCTGTGTGCAACAAGGAAAAGTATGTAGTGAGAGTATCTACAGAGACAAACAAGCAAAAAGTGACAACTGCCTAAGTTTAAAGTGGTGTTAAAGTACAACAACAACCATTCATTTATTGAAAACTCCAAGTACAGTCGAAGATGGCTAGTGATGATTTACCAGTTAACATTCCTGTGAGTACATGCATATCATTACAGCTCTTGATCTATTGGGCATGGGAGATGAACTTGTTTTGATGATACATGTAAATTAATGTTGCATTTGTTTACATTTTTTGGTCTTTTTGAAACTGAAACTATATTTTGTTACTGACAAGGCTTGTTTGCCATCCCCAAACAGATTATTTTTTTTTGTATTTTGATATCACCATCACACATGTATTTATTGTCAAACTAGACCTACAGTATAATCTACTCAGTGTACATATGGATAAATATGAAATAATCTTCATTGGACATAATTGTGCAGAGAAATCGTATTTCTTCTGAGTGGCTCCATGAAAAAATAAACAAGCATATGAGTTTAATGCTTCTATTATAGCTTAAAAATATATGTTCACTAAGTTCACAATGACTTTACTTCAATGCACTATTACAAGATAGTAAAGAAATATGAATATATAGCCTTTGAAATACTTGTACATTTAGTTTGAATAGTATAAATCGAAAATATGAGCTTCAAATACAATGTTTCTAATGTTGTTTCATGGTAAATGACTTCGAGCTGTTCCGGTTATGATAACATGAGGTGATTGAGAAAAGCCTTAAGTTTGGAAAGTTCCACAGGGAAGTTTCAAGGAAGGAGGCAAGGCAAATGATTAATTCTATTCCCAAAAGTGTCAAACAGGGGAACCAATGAATTAGAGAACCACTTGAGCCTCCTTGAAAAGGGGGTAAATGTTTGTTCCAATAAAAGAACAAACATGGGAACCAATAGGAAGCCCAGTAGAAAATGGTATGAAATATACCCGAAAAGACAGAACAAGATTAGGAGCCAAGATTTCATTGTTATTTATGAATATTGTCACATATTCAAGAACTAAATAATGAATGGAAAAGAGTAGCTTTGATGTATACCAAATCCATGGAAAATAGATAACCTTAAAAACCTAAATCTTGTTAATTGACAAAAATATTAAAGGCAACATTCCGTTATTATCAGTTCAGTTCTATGAATTGGCATATTTCCAATTCAAACATCTATACCTTATTTAGCATGTAGATCAATGAATCATTCTTTATTTTCAACAATGTGAATTTAAATATGATCAACAACAATATGTTGAAAATGTGTTTCTGTTTTATTTATTTTTGTGACTCATTTCGTGGAAGTTGCTAATAAGGCCAAGCTGCTGTGAATAAAGTGTAAGTGTCCATTGCACAGTGGTAGAGCATTAGACTTTGTTCCCGCACAGGGCATTGGATTTAGCACACTCTCTTTCTTGTCTGTATTTGACTTGTTACATTACAGCTCCTCTGAGGGGCCAGCTTGTGCAATATATTCATTTGCTGTTATAAAGCCTTTACAATGCCCATCTATTTTGTGTCCCATTAAGTGTACCTTTACTTGAATGTTGACATAATATATATAAATGAGGTTTATATTGGCAGGTGACAAGTTTATCAGAATACTTCAACTGTCCATTATGTGAGTGTCAGATGAGGAATACGTTGAGTACAACATGTGTGCACCGCTTCTGTGCCAAATGTATTAAGGAGTATGTTAACAGACTGCATAGGTGTCCCTGTTGTAACCAGGCCTTAGCAGAGAAAGAATTACACAAAGATCCTCTGTTTGATGAATTGATGGGTACGTGTATATAACAAACTACCTACAACACACTTCAGTATACTCTCATTTTGTAACAAATACTTTTATATTATAATCACATGCATAGCTCGGCATGAAGCAGGTGAACCTACTACTTCACAATTTGACAGAAAAATTTTTGTTCAGATTTTTTCAATAGAGGTGATTGCTTAAATTAATTAATTATAAGGATCACAATTTTAATGTTAAATCACAATCCACATGTCAAGATCACATTATTCAAATGATGTTTAACGTTAATCCAAATTGAAATATTTGATAGATCAAGTAATTGCATGATCCTTGCCATTAATATGTGTCCATTTATTCCGGCCCTACCAATTTCTACCCTATGCTGCCATCTATTTATTCAGCCTATATAGCAAATAGTATTGAAACTAAGGGATTCCTCATATAACTTTGATATTGATATTTTTTATTTGCTTTACCTATTTTTTATTACATTATTGTATTCATTTTAAAAGTTTTTATCTTTAGAGACATTTAATAGTCAAAAACTGAAGGCTGAGAAGGAATACTTTGATAACCTAATAGACAAAGGTGAGTTGATATGAATTGAATAATATGTTCATGTACATGTTGATGTCAAAACAATGTGAAACTGTTTTAAATCACTTTTCACTTTACAATTTATTTCAAATGGTCTCCTATTAGCAAAGACAGCAATGGGACAAACTACATGGGTTTAGCTTATTTGAAATGGCATTTTTACAATTTTCTAGATTATATTTGATTGTGAAAAATAACAAAGAATAACATTGTTAATTTGTTATTGACAGAGATTTTAATTAAAGCAATGGACATAATCAGTGTTATATCAATATGTTGATTTTTGCATTATTTCAGCTAATCCTGGTCCCATTAAAGATAATGCTGTGCCATCTGCATCACAGGGGGCAATTTCCCAGAATGCATCTGATATATTCTCTCCTGTAGAGCTAGTCCTCCAAAGTAAGTTCTTCCCCAGAATGCAGCTGGTATGTTCTCGCCTCCAGAGCTAAAAAGATCAGCTCATATTGAACAATTTGTTAAGTTGGAAAGTTATTAGAGGAGACATTTTCATATGGAAACTCCCAAAGTGCACACAATGGACAAAACACAGCAGTATAAAGGGCATATATTTTTCAGTCAATCTCTCAATTCTAGCAATCTCACTTAAGTTCAAGCTAATTATGTTCCTTTTTCTTTTCAGAGCACTTGAAAAAAAGTTTGATAGATCTTGAGAGATGCTGTCAGGTGAGGGTTTTAGATATTTATTAGTTAAATTAAAATACAAATATGCTTGGCTGTTAAATAAAAATCATAATTCCAAAGGAAAATTGCCTAGTTAAAACCATGTAAGGATTTGGAGCCAAACATGTTAGTTAGATCAAGTGCATACTTTACATTTAGATTTTAACCTAAATATTACACACATATACCTGCATTGGGACGGGTCGAATGTATTATGTTATCTTACCATCTTGATGCATTCTTGTCTCTGAAGCAAGACTGTGACAGGAGGCAACATCAGATTGATATTGAGATGAGAAAACTCAGAAAGGATATTATGTATACAACATATCATATAGTCTTACTGTCTTGATGCATTCTAGTCCCTGAAGCAAGATTGCGACAGGAGGCAACATCAGATTGATATTGAGATGAGAAAACTCAGAAAGGATATTATGTATACAACATATCATATAGTCTTACTGTCTTGATGCATTCTAGTCCCTGAAGCAAGATTGCGACAGAAGGGAGCATCAGGTTGACATTGAAATGAGAAAACTCAAAAAGGATATCTGGATGCACTCTGGAGGATTAACAGATAGAGGTACATTTATAGAATAGTACATGTACTTACTGTATACATTCCTTCATTACTAGAGCTTTGTAAAATGATTCGTAAATATTAATTGTTGTAACCATGGATATCATAACATCATCGTGAGAGATCATCAATACACTTAGATATTCTTAACTGCATGAATTGTAGTTTTGTTGCCCATATGTTGTCCTGTGTTCAAATGTGATTTTGTTTTCCATACGTTAAATGATACCCAATTTTTGTGCACTATACACTATGCACTAATGTGGTTTAATGCCTTTGCCTTATGTACAGGCTTTTTACATACATGATTTTGTACATACTGCACATGTACATGATCCCATATATTGTGCTTTGTACAGACATGGTTTTGTTGACCATATATATTGTGCACTGTACAAAATGGTTTTGTTGACCATATATATTGCGCATTGTACAAATTGGTTTTGTTGACCATACGAGTATATTGTGCAATGTACAAAATGGTTTTGTTGCCCATATATATTGCGCATTGTTCAAAATGGTTTTGTTGCCCATCTATATTGCGCATTGTACAAAATGGTTTTCTTGCCCATATATATTGCGCATTGTACACAATGGTTTTGTTGCCCATATTTTGTTCATTGTACATTTGATTTATTGTTTGTCCCAGAACTTGATGAGCAGCTTGGTGATGTACAACAAACATGTGAAAGACAGAAAATTGAAGTGCAGCTTGAGATGTCTAAATGTGTGCAACTTATTGCTGATGCGTATGACAAGTTAGTATGAATAAATCTAAAATCTGTCTTAAAGGGGCAATAAGGACTAGAGACAAGTTGAAAGTTGCTTTCTAAAACCTTATCTCATTTGTACAATATATTTACCCCCAACATTCCATGTGATGCATTATATCCAAAAAGTCCAACAGTTCTGATTTTCTTTTCCAGATAACAGTATTAGAATTGTAACTGTCGAAATTATATTTACTAAGATCTAATACACTACACATGTTTATAAGCTAATTACTCGACCAACATTTACAATTTCCAAATTATGTCATCTGAGTTTCTCATTCTAATAAAGTTGAAACTTTTTTATATATCAACCAAATTCTATCCATACTACATGCGTTCTACTGTCTTCCTAATTTGTATTGTTCATGTTGTTATTTAGGTATTTGAGTGAACACGTTCCTGACCTGGCAGTGCTACCCGTTAAAGTCTCTCTAAGTCTTCTCTCCAAGGGGATTACACTGCCTGATGTACAGCTGCAGCCATTTCACAGGTGAATAGCACTCTCTGTTACCCCAACAAACAGGGATATAGTCAGCAGGGATATTGTGATGCCCTCTTTCTGTCAGTCAAAGAAAATTGAGACAAGTGTATACTTGTAAAAAGATTAATAAAACCGTTCTGGGCTTTGCTGAAAAAATATTTTTCAATTTCGCCAAATTCACCAAATTAAAGCAGGCGCCAAATTAACCCAATCTACAGTAATTCCGGGCAGTGAGTATGAAATTAATTCCTTACTTTGATGAACCTGAAGATGCACTTGATTTGAGTAGTTGAGTAGTAGTTTGAGCTTGGGCAAGATGTCCATTCTTAAAGGGTAACGCATATCGTTTAGCAAATCGAACATTCGTTTTTAGTGTTGCTCACCATTTAGTATAAAAGGCCTGATCCCGGAATAATACTCAAGGGTGTGCACTTTGAGTTCAGTATGCAAACACTTCTGCCTGTTTATGAAGCAATAGTGTAGTATAGATCACCCTTAAGTATTATTCGTGATTACGCCTTTTATACTAAACAGTGAGCAACACCAAAAATGAGCGTTCGATTTGCTAAATGATATGCGTTACCCTTTAATGACACTAATTTAAGATATCACTCTAAAGTCACATTTTTGGTGTTTCAGTATGTCTCTGTCTTATGTATTTGATGAACAATGAATATTATGTATGTTGAGTTCTTTAATTCTAGTGTGGAAGACATCATGGAAATATTCAAATCAAAGATGATTGATAGAGGAGACAAGATTGTACACTTACCAGATGATGCAAGGCTCATCAGTTTTGGGTAGGTTCTCATAAAATACAAGATATCCTCTGTTATTTTTTAAATCAAGGCTCTACAAAATAGTTAATATAAATAGTGTTATTATGATAACCTACCTTCCCTAAATACAGGTTACCTTATCTGGAAATCAGTTTAAGATAAAGCTATATTTTAGCATTGTATCTGTAGTTACATAATCTATATGTTCTGGAAAATGAGAGGGATATGTGAAAAAAAATCACAAAATGAGAGCATTTTTATCAGAATATATGGATCGCCCCTTGTATAATGTTTATTTTGCTACATTCAAAATACAATTGATTTTCAGTCCATTTATGGACAAGGGCGTCTTTGAGATGGAGAAAGCAGCTAGAGAAGTTGTAAACCATGGTGAACATAACCAAGATATACTTATCCTCCCACCCGACTCAATGCCTCTGCTTCAGTATGGCCTGGTAGGTTTACTACTGTTAGAAAGGACCATTATTAAGACCCATGTCTGATTGAATATAATGTAAGAAGGACTATTCACACATAGCTAGTGTGAATAATGTCTTTAATGACCTTCTCAAGGTCAAAAAGTTTTAATGTCTTTAATGACCTTCTCAAGGTCAAAAAGTTTTTTTTCAAATTGGTTAAAATTGACTAATTTCTATTTTTCAAATCATCTACAGAGTTTTCGGAAATTTAAATCTTACTTAAGATTGAACTAATAAAACCTGAGCAACTAGGTGGTGACGATTCTGATACTCATAGCATCTTTCTGTTTCACCTGTAACATGCTCTGATATTATGAGGCATATTCTGATGATGATATTATCATGATGAGTGGTGACATTTTTTCATGTTAATGCCTTGTTACTCCTTGTATTATTTCACACCTTATAATGGCCCTGATTATATAATATATTCCAGAAACCTGGTAGCGTTATAGCTCTCTATGGCAAAGTGCAGTGTGAGAGTGACCTTCAAGAACAAGGCTTCGCTACAACATTCCAAAAAGATGCAGGTCAAAAGGTAGATTCCTTTTCTTGCAGTGATTATGAAATAAACAGTAAGTATAAAATATTTAAATTCCCTTTTATTTTAATAATGGAGGGGAGTAGTATGTCCTTGAACTCAATCACCACCTGTAACAGTCACATGTATTTTTTTTTGCTTATTTGTCATCACTTGTTATAAACAGTGGTACACAGAATTTTAAATCCAGTGCGTCTACATATAAAATAAGCATAAAATACAAAAGCGTACGTTTGGTTCTGAAAAATAGTAACAATTACTATTAGATTCTTTAAGTTATTCATATAAATATCAATGATATTAAATAATAAATAAGGTTGATTAATTGACTAATTAATGTCAAAGAGTGAGTGGTAACACTACGGCATAAAAAATTGTTCAAACACGAAATCACAAAATTAATAAAACCAAAAATGATTTTTAAAATATTTTTGGTTCAAAGGGCTTTGCTACTTTATGAAATGTCATTGTTTGCTATCTTAAATCTGTGATTTCAGTAAAATTGACATGATACTTGAATATTGAATCATAATGTTCAGAATACCTTTTATGGACAATTATGGCAAAACATGGGACAAAGAATATGAGACTCAGGTTTGGTCTCCATTTTTCTTTTGATGGTGGTTGGTGATCGGCAGTTGGCAATCGGTGATCAGTAGTTGGCAATTGGCGGTTGGCATTTGACATCTGTAACAAATTCCAATAACTTAACAAGTACTTAACATATACTGACTTCAATTTTTTTCGAAATCATCTACAAGTTTTCAGAAGTTCAAATCTGACTCTAGATTTGAGATTTGAGAAGGTCAAAAAAGGTCAAAAAGGTCTTTTTTCAACTTATGCTTCAAATTGACCAACTGTTTTTTTTTCAAAATCATCAACAAGTACATGTACTCAAAAGTTCAAATCTGACTATAGATTTGACATTCTCAAGGTCAAAAAATTCTTTTTTCATCTTGCTTTAAATTGATCAGTTTTTGTTTTCAAAATCATCTTCAAGTTCTCAGAAGTTCAAATCTGACTTGAGATATGATATTTCACCTTCAATGTTAAAGGTCTTTTTTCAACTTGCTTCAAATTAACTTATTAATCTTGAATGTTTCAGGTCCAGTTACAAATCCTTCAGTGGTTGGACAACAAGAACAAGAACTAGACCCTGACAATGACCTACAACACCTGCCAATACAGCAGCCTTGGTTACCCAGGGACCAGGAGGCCCACCAAGCAGAGCAGAACTCCTACATGCAGGGAGATTTTGAGGAATATAGCAATCAACAAGATCTGCCCACCACTGCTAACAAAGGCAATGGTAATTGTTGTTCATACTTATTTATTAAGTCACATGGGTGAGCTATTGTAATGGCCCACTTGTTTGTCAAGAAAGGCAATGGTAATTGTTGTTCATACTAATTGATTAAGTCACATGGGTGAGCTATTGTAATGGCCCACTTGTCTGTCAAAAAAGGTAATGGTAATTGTTGTTCATACTAATTTATTAAGTCACATGGCTGAGCTATTGTAATGGCCCACAGTTGGCAATCGGTGATCGGTAGTTGGCAATTGGCGGTTGGCAATTGGCATCTGTAACAAATTCTTACAAATTCCAATAACTTAACAAATACTTAACGTATACTGACTTCAATTTTTTTCGAAATCATCTACAAGTTTTCAGAATTTCAAATCTGACTCTGGATTTGAGATTTGAGAAGGTCAAAAAAGGTCAAAAAGGTCTTTTTTCAACTAATGCTTCAAATTGACCAACTGTTTTTTTTTTCAAAATCATCAACAAGTACATGTACTCAAAAGTTCAAATCTGACTATAGATTTGACATTCTCAAGGTCAAAAAATTCTTTTTTCATCTTGCTTCAAATTGATCAGTTTTTGTTTTCAAAATCATCTTCAAGTTCTCAGAAGTTCAAATCTGACTTGAGATATGAGATTTCACCTTCAATGTTAAAAGTCTTTTTTCAACTTGCTTCAAATTAACTTATTAATCATGAATGTTTCAGGTCCAGTTACAAATCCTTCAGTGGTTGGACAACAAGAACAAGACCCTGACAATGACCTACAACACCTGCCAATACAGCAGCCTTGGTTACCCAGGGACCAGGAGGCCCACCAAGCAGAGCAGAACTCCTACATGCAGGGAGATATTGAGGAATATAGCAATCAACAAGATCTGCCCACCACTGCTAACAAAGGCAATGGTAATTGTTGTTCATACTAATTTATTAAGTCACATGGGTGAGTTATTGTAATGGCCCACTTGTTTGTCAAAAAAGGCAATGGTAATTGTTGTTCATACTAATTTATTAAGTCACATGGGTGAGCTATTGTAATGGCCCACTTGTCTGTCAAAAAGGTAATGGTAATTGTTGTTCATACTAATTTATTAAGTCACATGGCTGAGCTATTGTAATGGCCCACTTGTTTGTTAAAAAAGGCAATGGTAATTGTTGTTCATACTAATTTATTAAGTCACATCGGTGAGCTGTTGTAATGGCCCACTTGTCTGTCAAAAAAGGCTTATATAATGGTAATTGTTGTTCATACTTATTTATTATTATTATTAATGATTTTATTTCACTTATTGAAAACAATATAAACAATTACATATAAAAGCATACCAATCGCCATGTGGCATTACAGGTTGCTTTAAGTAAATTAAACATAGTTTTCATGTGGCTTTAGATATCACAAAACAGAAAGTAAGTAAAATATTGTAAATAAAATAGATAAACAATATAAGTTTTTATTTTATTTTATTTGGGTCCAGGAGGTTGAGAGATGCTATATGAGTCAAAGTTTTAACTTTAAATTCTAGTTGGGTGTATATAACACGTTCCAACAAAGTCAGTTACTATGTCAATGAGGGTATTTTGAGAATCTCGACAGAGGGTGTTTTCAAAAATAAGATATTCTAATTGGTCATTTTGATTTGTACATGTGTTTGTATCATAAAGTAGGTTGTTTTGTCTCAGTGCAGCCATCATATCAATTCTTTCATTTATATGGCGTGGGCAAGATAGGAGAAAGTGTTTTGTACTTTCAGGGGATCCACAAGGACATTTGTTATCATTAACTCCTGTAAAATTGTGAGAGAAAAAGTGATCTTTTAACATGAAATCAACCCTTAGTCTATTGATGATTTTCTCCTTATTCCTTGAAAGTTTGAGCTTGGTTGTTGGGATAAAATTCATATTAGGAAGTATTAATGAACGAACAGCATTTTTGAAACTAGAAATGGTTGGTAAATCTCTTACAGGTTGGCTTAGGTTGTTCCATTGCTTTATAAGGTTTAGGACTGGTGCATTGAGAAATCTAGTTGTAACTTGAGTGGGTATTTTAAATGGTAAAGAGTGTCTTGTTGTCCTAGTGGCGGGGTTTTTATATATATCAAAAATATCAGAAATGTATTTAGCTACCATTTTTCTATTTATTTTGAACATTATTCGAAGATTTTTTTCTTTTCTTCTTTCACTCAGGGTCTTCCAGTTTAGGCACTGGAAAACTTTGGATGTGTTAGACCCATGGAGGACTCCAGCACATATAACACCTGCTTGATAGTGTAGTTTATCAAGTTTAGCTAGCAAAGCTAACGAGGCTGACCCATAAATTGCACTGCAATAGTCAAAGTTTGACGCTACATAGGAGTTATACATTGTTTCGAGGTGATTTGATTTAACACTGTTTGATAAGTACTTTAGTGGATTGAGCAATTTTTGAACTTTTTGGGAAAGATAATTGATGTGGTCTTCAAAGGTCAAATTTTCATCTAAAATAAATCCCAGATGTTTATGGGAGGTTTTACATGGAATAACTACCCCGTCAAAATAGAGCGGTGTTTTTTGAAGATTTTTGATCCGGTTTGAATGGAATATCACTTGTGCACTTTTGGACGGATTAAATTTTAGAAACCATTTCTTTGACCATGAGCTAATTGTATTTAGATCATTTTGGATTTGCCCAACTTGGTCGTTAGATGGGTGAAAAAATGAATATAAAGATGTATCGTCAGCATAGATTATTTATTAAGTCACATGGGTGAGCTATTGTAATGGCCCACTTGTCTGTCAAAAAAGGTAATGGTAATTGTTGTTCATACTAATTGATTAAGTCACATGGGTGAGCTATTGTAATGGCCCACTTGTCTGTCAAGAAAGGTAATGGTAATTGTTGTTCATACTAATTGATTAAGTCACATGGGTGAGCTATTGTAATGGCCCACTTGTCTGTCAAGAAAGGCAATGGTAATTGTTGTTCATACTAATTGATTAAGTCACATGGGTGAGCTATTGTAATGGCCCACTTGTTTGTCAAAAAAGGCAATGGTAATTGTTGTTCATACTTATTTATTAAGTCACATGGGTGAGCTATTGTAATGGCCCACTTGTTTGTCAAAAAAGGCAATGGTAATTGTTGTTCATACTAATTTATTAAGTCACATTGGTGAGCTATTGTTATGGCCCACTTGTCTGTCAAAAAAGGCTTATATAATGGTAATTGTTGTTCATACTAATTTATTAAGTCACATGGGTGAGCTATTGTAATGGCCCACTTGTTTGTCAAAAAAGGCTTATATAATGGTAATTGTTGTTCATACTAATTTATTAAGTCACATCGGTGAGCTATTGTAATGGCCCACTTGTCTGTCAAAAAAGGCTTATATAATGGTAATTGTTGTTCATACTAATTTATTAAGTCACATGGGTGAGCTATTGTAATGGCCCACTTGTTTGTCAAAAAAGGCTTATATAATGGTAATTGTTGTTCATACTAATTTATTAAGTCACATCGGTGAGCTATTGTAATGGCCCACTTGTCTGTCAAAAAAGGCTTATATAATGGTAATTGTTGTTCATACTTATTTATTAACTCACATGGGTGAGCTATTGTAATGGCCCGCTTGTCTGTGAAAAAAGGCTTATATAATGGTAATTGTTGTTCATACTTATTTATTAAGTCACATCGGTGAGCTATTGTAATGGCCCACTTGTCTGTCAAAAAAGGCTTATATAATGGTAATTGTTGTTCATACTTATTTATTAACTCACATGGGTGAGCTATTGTAATGGCCCACTTGTCTGTCAAAAAAGGCTTATATAATGGTAATTGTTGTTCATACTTATTTATTAACTCACATGGGTGAGCTATTGTAATGGCCCACTTGTCTGTCAAAAAAGGCTTATATAATGGTAATTGTTGTTCATACTTATTTATTAAGTCACATGGGTGAGCTATTGTAATGGCCCACTTGTCTGTCAAGAAAGGCAATGGTAATTGTTGTTCATACTAATTTATTAAGTCACATGGGTGAGCTATTGTAATGGCCCACTTGTCTGTCAAAAAAGGCTTATATAATGGTAATTGTTGTTCATACTAATTTATTAAGTCACATTGGTGAGCTATTGTAATGGCCCACTTGTTTGTCAAAAAAGGCTTATATAATGGTAATTGTTGTTCATACTTATTTATTAACTCACATTGGTGAGCTATTGTAATGGCCTACTTGTCTGTCAAAAAAGGCTTATATAATGGTAATTGTTGTTCATACTTATTTATTAAGTCACATGGGTGAGCTATTGTAATGGCCCACTTGTCTGTCAAAAAAGGCTTATATAATGGTAATTGTTGTTCATACTTATTTATTAAGTCACATGGGTGAGCTATTGTAATGGCCCACTTGTCTGTCAAAAAAGGCAATGGTAATTGTTGTTCATACTAATTGATTAAGTCACATTGGTGAGCTATTGTAATGGCCCACTTGTTTGTCAAAAAAGGCTTATATAATGGTAATTGTTGTTCATACTAATTTATTAAGGCACATGGGTGAGCTATTGTAATGGCCCACTTGTTTGTCAAAAAAGGCAATGGTAATTGTTGTTCATACTAATTTATTAAGTCACATTGGTGAGCTATTGTTATGGCCCACTTGTCTGTTTAAAAAGGCTTATATAATGGTAATTGTTGTTCATACTTATTTATTAAGTCACATGGGTGAGCTATTGTAATGGCCCACTTGTCTGTCAAGAAAGGCAATGGTAATTGTTGTTCATACTAATTTATTAAGTCACATGGGTGAGCTATTGTAATGGCCCACTTGTCTGTCAAAAAAGGCTTATATAATGGTAATTGTTGTTCATACTAATTTATTAAGTCACATTGGTGAGCTATTGTAATGGCCCACTTGTTTGTCAAAAAAGGCTTATATAATGGTAATTGTTGTTCATACTTATTTATTAACTCACATTGGTGAGCTATTGTAATGGCCTACTTGTCTGTCAAAAAAGGCTTATATAATGGTAATTGTTGTTCATACTTATTTATTAAGTCACATGGGTGAGCTATTGTAATGGCCCACTTGTCTGTCAAAAAAGGCTTATATAATGGTAATTGTTGTTCATACTTATTTATTAAGTCACATGGGTGAGCTATTGTAATGGCCCACTTGTCTGTCAAAAAAGGCAATGGTAATTGTTGTTCATACTAATTGATTAAGTCACATTGGTGAGCTATTGTAATGGCCCACTTGTTTGTCAAAAAAGGCTTATATAATGGTAATTGTTGTTCATACTAATTTATTAAGTCACATTGGTGAGCTATTGTAATGGCCCACTTGTCTGTCCGTCTGTATGTTGAAATAGTTTCACTTTTAAAATATGTCTATATAAAGTCTTCATTTTGTTCATACAGCACACCTCGGTATATATTTGACTCCCCGGAGTATAGACATCGGTAACTCGGTCCCCTTATTTGTTCACTGTCAACCACCTGTTTGGGCATCATGGAAAGTTACCACTCTGGCCTAATATCAACTTAATTCATTTAGAACTTACCTGTCTGAGAAATATATAACACTGAAGGTATAAACTTTGGACACAAGACACAAAGGGCTGCTTCCATTAGAAACACATCTACAGAGACACAAGGAAAAACACACAAGTCTAAATAGACTTACAAAAAATTAGACACAGAAGTACAGTGACACATAAGGTATCATCTGTGAGTTCATCTGTTTGTCCAAGTGTCCACACATTCGTTTGTTAACTCAAATACCAGTCATTGGATTTAGTTCAAAGCTTGCATGTTATGTTCAAAATGTCAAGGTATTTTAATAAAATATGTTTTGTTTGGTGGGATTTGCTACTCCATGGAGTTGCTGATTTCTAGTTTAATCTAGTCATTTGTATGTTTTTAAAATTAGCTGCAGTAGATTTGCCTCTATTGATTAATTGAAAAAATGCAAAAAATAAGTTTAATGAAATCAAATGATTTGAAATTTTCAGGGATTCCTGTTGGTATGAATATCAGAAAGGAGACGACTCAAGACTACATTGATCCAGGAAGAAAATGCAACATTTGCGGAGATGTTTTCAAGAATGAACTTGGTGTGCAAATCCACAAAGGAAGGATGCATAAATCGACCAGTTCCAAATACCCAGAATCAAATATTCATCCCCCTGTATCTCTTTCTCTCTCCTATGGTTCAACTCAGACGACTCAAGACAACATTGATCCAGGAAGAAAATGCAACATTTGCGGAGATGTTTTCAAGAATGATCGCGGTGTGCAAATCCACAAAGGAAAGATGCATAAATCGACGACCAGTTTCAAATACAAAGAATCAAATATTCCTCCCCCTGTATCTCTCCCTCGCTCCTATGGTTCAAGTCAATGTTTTTGTGGAAGAGTTTTCAAGAATGAACATGGTCTGAAAATCCACCAAGGAAAGATGCATAAGTAGATATCTGTGAAACCTGGGCAAAAAACAGATCCTGATTCTAACGATTTAATAGACATGCGTAAATGCACCTAAAATTAGATTAAGAAGCAGGAGGAATACGTTTATTCATTCGTAAATCATTGTTAGATGGGATCAAACATGTTCATTAATGTCGTAATGTACTTTGAATTGGATAATGACATCAGATCATTGTGCATATATAGCATACTTGTCAAGTTAAAAGCTGCAAAATTCCGGTCTAATTTTTTTGAAAATCCGGCTTGACTTGTATAATAAAGTTTCTAGGATTAATCCAGTTTCAGCTATTAGCAAAAATTAAGTTTAATTCGGGCTGAATTTGAATAAAAACACTTTCCAACTAAACTAAATTAATTTCAAATTTTTCCATTTATTTTTGAAACTGAAGTGTCTGGATGATGCATAATGATTTATTAATAATTAAGTCACTATTACATGACGATATAACTCAAAATGTTGAAATATGATGGATTTTGTCATAGATACCGGCCCGGATTCTTTCATAGTAGAATCAGTAGCTCAATAAATATAATATTCTTTGAGCCTATGAGATCCTACTACAAAACAATCTGGCCAACATCTTTGGATTTTGTGAAAAATAACAATATTTTCAAGAAATTTTCATGCTTTCTAGAATATTGAGAAGTTGTAGATTATATTACCGTATATTGTGTATATTGTTTTATACTAGTATAACTGAATATTCATGTAAATGTAAATTTTTTAAATAAGTTGTTCTTATATTCAAGTCAAGTATCTTAGTTGTTCTCTTTATTCATGTATTAATTAGTGTATACTTTCGAAGATGCATATAAATTGTCCTTTATATCTATTTGTTTACGGTATGTTAATAGTAATTGTACAATTTGTAAATAATTGTAAATTATCACTTGGTCTCTAGGAAGACCAGTTTTTATACTGATAGAGCTATTCAGAAGAAATATAGTTTTCAAATCAAATCAACTGGTTGTGGCTTAATCTCTTCTGAGAAAATGCACATTTCAACAACACTGCTACCCACCTAGTTACACAGACGTATCGTCAGTGTATCATGGCGAAACTACTTCCGGGACTAGGTTTCGGTAAGATTTTTTATTTCCCGATTTACACCTACTTATAAGTCACGTTGTGGATAATAATTTGACTCGGAGTTAAGGAAGATAGTCTAGTTTGAGAATGTGTCGATGGTTTTAGGTTTTATATGTTAACGAAGACACAATTCATGTATTTAGTCCCTCGCTTTTGTTACACTGACGTACGACTAATATCAGTGTAATATTGGCAATATTAATGCCGATCGTCAGTGTAACAAAAGCGAGGGACTAAATATGTGAAATGCGTCTTCGTTAACATACCAAACCTAAAACCACTGACACATTCTCAAACTAGACTATCTCCCATAACTTCGAGCCAAATTATAATCCACATCGTGACTTATAAGTACATGTAAATCGAGAAATAAAAATATCTTACCAAATTCAAATCCCGGAAGTAGTTCAGCCATGATACACTGACGATACGTCTGTGTAACTAGGTGGGTAGCAGTGAACAAGGGTGTAATTACTTAACATGGCATGGGTTCACTGAGGGCTTTCTGAAAAATAACCTCTACGACATGAGCACTATGAGGAATCTCCCAAACTTAGAAATCACATTTTTAAAAAGAGTAAACAGACCATTTTTGTTTTTGTAAATCTATTCTTATTTCTCAGTTGTCAAAAATTGGACAAATTGAATCTTTTGAATTCTAAAATAAATTAGAAAATTATTTATAACAATGATAATGTAGAATGTGGGTTCTGAGACTTATTCCAGTGAAACTATCAAACATCAATGCAGATTCACACATAGCAGGGCAATTAAGGTGTGTCCAGCCAATCAGAACACCTTATTTCACATAACTGCATTCTGTTATATAACCAATAACACATTTGTTATGTTGTTACACTTGACCATTGCAAAAAGTTTCATCGAAAATATGTTGTTTTAGTGATTTTGTATCTTTTAATTGATTTTATAGGAAATATTTTGCCATACAGTGTATGTGAAAAAATTTAAGCCAAAGACTCAATGCATCGTGGCTGCTTCATTCTACTCAGGCGTTGTTTTCTAAACTTTGCATTCCAGCTGTGCGGTTATGCAAAGGTTTGGAAACAATAAATTCAATGGAATGATTCAACATACAATGCAGTGAGTCCAGGGCTTATCCTTTATTCAATCCACAGTAGGCACCAACCTCAACTGTTACAGTGCAAGTTATTTTGGATATTATAGATGTCGTCTTTCTTGAGACTGCTGGGAGTTAACATCCTGTATTTACTGTATGCTATTAAAACGTTTTAGTAACGAAGAATTTGATTGGTGCATTATTACCGGTTCCGTCATTTTTGAACCAATCAAATTAAACTTCACAAATCTATGACTCATTCTGCAACAGCTAAGTGAAGACTTTTCAGAAGAAAATTCAGATCATTGCAGGAAAACTCGGATATTACAGTATGTCTGCGACTAGATCTACTGTGTTGGTGATCGTAGGTGAAATTTTGTCCCCTCAACACAAGGATTTAGTTTTGGAGCAGTTGACAAAAGGTGAGACCGTAATTTTGCTTCTTTACAAAATCCCAGACAGTTGCCGGTTTTGACATTTGAATCAATAATGTGGATCATATTTTATACAGACTGTAGTTTTGATTGTGATTCATGAATTGTTGTGTTGATTTAGCAAGTGTTTTGCCACAATAAAGAGTACATATCGATATTTTGGTATTTGTAGATCATGTATCTAACAATATACTTGATGACTATGCTATAGATTCACTTTCCAGTCTAGAGTGACAGTCTAGAAGTTTGACAGAAGGTTACAAACAGAAAGTTAGCTTGACTTCATGCGTAGACTTGTAGATGTCCTTATATCATGTCTAGTGCTAAGTTCTGCACACTTAATTTGAAGGCATTTTCGTAAGGCTTTGCTTGCTGGATACTCAAAATATTTCGCTGTAGTTGTGTATCACGGCGTGTATCACCATGGGCTTTCAACTAGAAAGCCCATGGTATCACGGAAATTTGAGAATTTATAAAGTTTTACATGTAATTCAGTGCCATAGCAGGCCCGTAACCAGGCGGGGGGGGGGGGGGGGTTGAGGGCAAAAATTCTTTCACAATTGTGCAGTTTTTCACCATCCTGAGCAATGTTCAAGTGATTTTGTCTGCTTTTGGGCCAAATATGTCAAAAGTGAACCCCCTTGGAATTTTTCAAAAATCCTGGCTACAGGCCTGCAAAGTATAAAGTCATAATACCTGAACATAGTCCAGTTATCAGCTGTATATTTGTTGCAAATATGTGCACTTTTACCATGTATGAAACAAAACCAACAAACATTTTATGTAGGGGGATATTTGTAAGAGCCTGTAAGGCAAAGTATAGGGGGGGGCAGTGAGTGGGAGGTGGTTTATACCAAGTATTGCATGTAACTGTTTTTCTAGATTTTAATTATTTTCATAAGATACATAAAGATTTTTTATCGTACAATATCGTTGCTCATTTTATTATCAAAAATCTATGTGTGTTTGTTGATGAAACTAAAAGTCTCAATAACCTGAGTTAGGTATTGATTCAGTATTCATTGACATTTTCTTGGCACCACATCACAAATCTTTTCAGGCTACCCTTGATTTCTGTTCTTTTCAATATTGTCATATTTGTTTACTTTGTAATATATCAAAAATATGGGTCTATGATCTCATTCCTAGATAATGTTTGAATAAATTCAGTTAACTATGGCCGTACTAGATGTCTAATTATCATCTTTAAATAGATTTATTTAGATGCCCCTCAGTTATTTCATTGAGTTAGGTGATAGTTTCTATTCTCTATTTTACTTGGCAAGAGACTGGCAAATTTAGCATTCTTCCAGAAAGATAATTCCTTGTGCAAGCTGCTGTGCTGTTACTATGAAAAGATCACCTTCCCTCTGAGTCATTAACATGCATTCAGAGATTAAGCGCAATTTCTTCATTAGGATATAATAAAAAATCAATTTAATACTGTGCTGGTATATCAATTATGCTAAATGCTTTATGTTAGGAATATATCATATACTGTATTAACAGCATTTTGTGATCTTTGTTGTCACCTTATGTTATCAACTATTCGTGTTTTGGTTTTGAGCTACAAGAGGGAGGGAGGGGGGGGGGTCAGGTAGAGGATCTGTTCATCTCAGATAGGTTGTGAAATAGTCTTAATCTGGGTGTGTAATAGGGGAGGGGGTCATGAGGGTTTTTAGCTAGACAAGCGGTGAAAGGTAAATATTTCAGTACTATGCAAGGGAAGGGGGGCCTAGCTTGATTCACAAGGTTCATTTGCTCTAACTTTATTCTAATCACCTTAAAAGTTTAAGATGGGAGGAAGTACCATGTTGGCTTCTTTCAAGTCTGGGAGATTCTAAATCAGGAGTCTGATTAATGAATAGAAGTTTCGACTTGTTTAGAGATACTGAATAATCCATTTCTTTCAATGAAACATATTTCCACACTTGCTATGCCCTTCTCTCACAATTTCTCTCTGATCTTGAATCTAGAGTTGCTGATTTTTGGCTATTTTGTATTAAATTTATTATTGCATATTATCTGTATATATATATACATACCTAACTGAGTTAACTTTGAAAATTCACTATACATGTATATTGTTATTTTTTTTATTATTTTAAGCATGCACCATATAATGTTTTATCTGGGAGAAAGAAGTAATCTTTCCACATTAATCTCCACTAATCTTGAGGATGTAAACAATTTTCTAGTCTAGCATCAAGCCTCTGCTTGTGTTTTGTAACATTTGTTTTAAGTATAACATACCTAAATGGGATGGGGGAGGGATAAGACCTATCCCCCTAAATCTTCATATACAGTATCATGTTTATTGACAAGAACATGTTTTCAGACATCTCAGACACAAAGAATTTTCCATAAATTTTATTGATTTTTATTATTTGGATCATGTTGTCATTGATATTATAGAATTCATTTTGACATTTGGTGTAATATTTAGCTGACATATGTGCCATTATTCAATGATATATGATCCTATTATAATTCCTTGTAATATTCAATAATTTGATTGTCTAATATAATATAATTGAGACTTCTGTCATCCTCTTTTGCTATTGGAAAATATTCACAGAGCTGTTCAGACATCTTTGTTTTAGTTCGTTAGATAAAGTGGGAGTGGAATTAGGTGGAAAAGGGGGGGGAGGGTCATGTCCAGTCTCTAAATTAATGCTTTTTGTTAGAAACCTTTCTACTTTTTAAGTTATAATCTCAGTGTATTTGAAAATCATGGCTTTGATGAAGGTTTGATAGATATACCATGGTATTTAGTAGCCTATGGTATATGATATTGCATATTTACTAACAAGGGTTGTATATATCACATATCAGATTTTTTTTATTTCACGTTAAGTGGCTTTTTTGCTGAACTAAGGTCAACAGCATATAAAATATAGATATAGGAAAATACCTTGCTTATATTTCGATTATTCGGTCAGGTAGATTTATAAAATGGCCAACATATAATTAAGGTATATGTACTGAAATATTAGATTTAAAAATTAAGATTTCATTGTATTGTGCTAAAATAAAACATTTGAACGTGGGAACTAAATGTGAATTAGTGTTTTTCTTCACACGGTATATGTATTTAAAGTTTTATTTACAGACCACTGTGTTAAATAAAAGGGCCAACAAAGTTTATTCTTTGTATTATTGATTTTATCATTTTCTTTAAAAAAAAAAGAAAATAAACAACTGTAAAAAAGAGCACCTTTACTTGCCATTATTTAAACGTAAACTTCCAGTTAGGTTTAGAATTGTTTATTCACGTTTTGGGTAGACTATATTTGATTTTTAAAACTAACTGTGTTTGCAGAACACTAGAGTTAAGTATTATAGTAAGAAAGATTAGATTAGATACAGATTTCAATCTAAATCTTTGAGACCAGATAAAGTTATGATAAACCAACTAGAAATGAAGCAGTAAAAGTTTGTATGAGCCAGGTCAGGTTGACCTGTTATATCTAATTAATTTTTGATGAAAACATTACAACATTGCGTTAGCTTTTATTAGTCTGGATTCCTAATTAGGAAATTGATATTGTTCAAATAGCTCATGAATAAAATATTGGTGCACTTCAAATACTTTTTGCATTGTGTTTCACACTCTTGTGAAAAATGACTTCCTCTGATTTCTGAAATCAATAGTGAAAATGCTTTGTAAGTTTTATCTTGCTTTCTTGATATTTCTGCAAAGTGTGGTCATATTTGGAAAATAAAAGGTCAGGATGACCTATGTGTAATTTTGAGCCATGCTGTTATTCTCACATAAAATATTTGATAACAGAATGTCGTTATAACCTTTAAGTCACTTTCAGTCTACTTAATTACCGATTTCAAGTATAAGACAAATGTTAATTAAATATGTCTAGCAGTGAAAATGTTTGATAGAATTATTCAACTTTATGAGATTTGATTTTACTAAGATAAGTATTGGAAAATGGGTACATATTAGGGAGATGGTAGAGGGGTGTATTAAGGTGATGGGGGTATAATATGGGGAGTAGGGTGTATTAGAGAGACAGGGGTATATTACTGTATTAGGTAGATGGGAGTGTATTAGGGGAATAGGATTATATTAGGGGGATGGGGATGTATTGGGGATAGGCCAGGGGCATTCTGTAGTGAAAAATAACATTTTCCTTAGACTTGGGAAGGGGCAGTGCAATAAACTTTTTTTTTTAATCTTGTCTAAACAACAAGCTCTGTTTACTCCTTTAATAATCATATTTTTATCGCACTTTGAAAAAGTGCTATATTGTCGTCGTCTTGTGCTGTTGGGCGTGCGGGCGGGCGGGACATAAACTAAATCTTGTCATCAAATTTCCAGGATAACTGCTTACCTGTTCAACTTGAAATTTTTACAGATGCAAGAGCAGACTAGTACCAAGATCTGATTAGGTTAAGGGCATGCTGGGTAAACTATGTGGCGGCCATTTTGAATTTTTCAACAAATCTTGTCATCAAAATTCCAGGAAAAACACTTATCCGTTCAACTTGAAATTTTTACAGATGCAAGAGCAGACTATTGCCAAGATCTGATTAGGTTTTGGGTATGCTGGCTGAATTACATGGTTGCCATTTTGAATTTTTGAATTTGGCGGCCATTTTGAATTTTTCAACTTGCTCCAAATTGACCAAATTTTTTTTTTAAAAACATCTACAAGTTCTCAGAAGTTCAAATCTGACCTTAGATTTCAGATTTGACCTTTCATTTACCTTCAGTGACCTTGAAAAGGTCAAAAAAGTTGATTTTCTAAATTGATATTTTGGATTTAAATTTAGGTCAGCTTAATTACAAAACACCTACTGAGGTCTGAAAAAGTGAAATTTTAAAGGTCAAAAGTCAAGGTCATTAAACTAGGTCACAAATGATGTTATCCAAGTTTCTCAAAGTTTGAGACTACAAATCAATTCTTGTCATCAAAATTCCAAGAAAACGGCTAACCTGTTCAACTTGAAATTTTTACACATGCAATAGC